CTGAAAGATGAGTAAAATTTCCAGAACATTTGAACGATAATTGCACGTAAGATACTAGTTGACATTTTATATCGTCTCGATTTTCTTTCGTACTATATACAATTTTTTAAAAAGACCAATTTTAATATGCTTATATATTTTTATTTTTATTTCAAAAAACAAAGCGAAAAAACCGTATTATAAAAATTATTTTTTTAGACTATTACGTGTGCATGAGTTTAGTTTCTTTTTTCGCCCGCTTTGTGTCCTAACGCGCGTACGAGCTTATTTCGACATGCGCTTACATATTTTTTTCTTTTCCGGACGGCTGGAAAAGACAATGAGAAGAACGATGGAGTTTACGACGAACCGAAAATTCTTTGTATTTTTTCATTATTTTTTTACTAAGTTGTACTTCATGGTCCTTTATAGTAAGGAAAGACGATCAGACGCTGCTAAGCATAGCACGCTATCAAAAAAATATTTACCAACGACAAACTCCGTGGTTTTAAACTTATGGCTGGCCACTTCTTAAAGTCATCACTACCCCACTAGGGTGAAGTGATCTGCAGCGGTAAGTAAATCCCCGAAATAAATGGCATCGTAGGTTCTTGACATTGGAAGCCGACCACATTAGTTTTAGTGGACTCACCTAGCTGAAGGCGCGGCAACGCTCAAGAGGTATCGCGACAGTTTTTGCGCTACGTTTTCATTTCTGTTTTGTGCACAGCCAAAATTCGAAATTAATTATAAATAAGTTTGAAAGTCTATTTTCCGTTTTGACAATCAGGTGAGAAGAGGGTTGTCCATTTTGCGGCACATAGTATCGCGAAGTTCTTGAAAATTCATTATTCAGGTGCTGCTATAATAATTTTTTCGTATTCGCATCGCAGACTAGCAATTATTTCTACTTAACTATACACCAAAGGTTGACAACCATTTATTTTTATATGAAATAACATGATCCAAGCATATATCGTCATAAAAATTTTATTGTCGTCAAGGTTACCAAACTGAGCTACAAATAACGATACCGTGATAAGATTTATCGTTTTTCCTCTCCTTAATAAAATTTTGACTGATTTTCACTGTTTCGTTCGACTTTAGGTTAATAGTGAAAATATTAGTCGTCCTGAGGGTTGTGAATACCATGTATATGCTATAGATGATTATAACACATACCACGATGTTAATATCACCTTCTACAGTTAGATATATAAGCCACCAAATCATTATATTGCAGGAAATAAATCATAATCATGCGGTAGATGTATAATTATGTGAAGATTTTACCAGAGACTAACTAAACATATATAGCTTTACTACCTCTTCTATAGAGTTGCAATGTCTAGGCTATCGGTATTCTTGTAAAGATAGCTAATAGCAGGAATAAGTACTGTTATAAGGCGGTTACGAGAAAGCATTGAAAGGCATGATTCGACAATAAGATATCTTGATCTCAGGTGACCAGGTTGTCTGAGATCGTATGTGATGATCTTCGGAAATCAACCAAGGCCTGTCTAGCTTACGTGCTGATGCCGTAAATGACCATTACTCATACCTTACGTGGGACTAAATTAAAATCGGCATCAATAATTGCAGATTACACAGGACGATTCAAAGTAAGTTCACATAATAGTCTTTATATATGTTCATTGTCTAGGATTCCGAGATGCAACCTGTTCAAAGAATTAAATAATACAAGCTAGGTAAGTTGCGACCCAGGCCTTCCCAAGCAACGCAAGAGGTGAAGCAGATAAGAAAGGGTTTGCCAAATTCACTTTCCATCTGTAATTGAATACCAGTTTCTGTTTTTATACTAGTTTCTGGTAAACATTTATACGGCGATAATTATTTCTTGTCTATCTTATTTCCAGCTAGCTTCGCAAGTGTTCACAGACCCAACGGGAACAATTCTTAAGAATCGGAAGTTATTTATCAATTTATCATTCGCGCTGAATTTTAATCTTGATAAACGTTTTCATTTATAACGCACCAGTCTTTTAATTACGGCAGTGCTTATCTATCGAGACTGTTCGAAATTCCACCTAGTAGTATAGTACACCATGTTCAAGGTTGCAGTATATGTTAAACGGTCTTTATGACTAATCGCGTGTCAGCCAAACTGGTAATTATTACACAAGAACGCGAAACAACATTCCTGTCTCACAGACACATAAGACTGCACAGTACACACTCCCTGCCGTTACGCTATAAGAATAAGTTAATGGCCATATAAATGAATTTATGTAAATCTAAAATGATTACAATATTAGAACTTCTTGTCATCAAGAAGCATAGCTATGGTCAGTGTTAACAATGGATTCTGACGATGTAGCATGATTATTAGCACCGATTGAACTCATCACTTGTGTGCATATGTCTTCCGATGCTTCGAGGCATGAATCGATGAGTTTATACTTGCCAAAGATTCACTAAGAGCATGGATTGAGTGGTAGTTGTTAGTGAACTTCTCTAGCAGATCGTCACTCCTTGTAGAGATTGACATGTTGTCCAGCGCACGAAGAACCAAGTCCATTATGTATTTCCTTGTCGAAATGAGTCGAAAGGGCTCATAGAGAAAAAGCAACACACACTTACCCCCACGAATCAAATCTTTACAATGTGCATACAGAATATGCCCACAGGGCATCATGTAGTCATTGAAACGCTCACGAGCACATCGTGCACGTGATGTATCAACAGCATACATCATACCCATGTCGTGGCACCGGATGTATTATCCTCCTATAAATTCGTGTTTTATTGTCCGAACACGTTCATAATTTACAGGTACGATTTTAACTGCAAAAGATGTGAACTCATTTAAAAGCGTTCGAAATGACATTGGAACCCGGAATTAATGACACATTTAATTATGTTTCTTACCTGAAGAATTGGAAAACGTGGAAGATCCTTTACAGCGTCGTATGGACGCAAACGTACGTCAGTGTCTGTTTTACTCCAGATTTTCCAGAACATCAGTAGCAGAGAATCACCTCTTCTGAGACATTCTTTTAGGTGTTTATGAGCACTTTCGACATGGTTGTTTGTGCGGTTGCCTAGGCTTAATACATGTCGCCGGTAACATCGAGCCCACATTGACTTCCGCGCAATTCAGTAATCTTTTATTTAACCATACGCCCATGGGAAATGGGTTCTTAGATGTTCGTACTTCTGAGTATATCTGAACATAGTGCGTTATGAAAAGCGAAGCTCACATGTCAGACCGTCTAGTCTTCACAAGGTGTTCCAAGCATTTGCGTACATCAGGATTTCAGAACTAAAGAAAATAATTTGTACAGCTAGCAAATACCTTCCTGACAAATGCTCCTAAGACATGGAATAAACAAAGTATTATGTCAGAGTGGTTGTGTGTAGACTTCATTGCAGAAATTTTGGTCGTTGCCGAATCCATAACGAAAGTGTGTGTATCATAAGTACCGCACGTTATGTCTTTAAGGCATTCCAATTTTTTTAGATATCGCATCGTTCTTGCCTGGGAAGAGCATACATGACAGTGTGCTCTTGCCCAAGACTATCAGTCACCACCAGCTGGAACAGTGGAAAACCTTCAGATAAATTTATTACTAATCATTACCTACCCAACTTTTTTGGTCTGATAGGTCGAGTCAATACATACTACCTGGGTACAACTGTGAACGCATTCTGGCGATATCGTCCTTGGTAGGCTGTTTATGGAACTTCCAAGAAACCATATGCCGTGAGCTACGAGTTGGCATATTACTCAATAGAAACGTTCTTAAATATAAGCGTTCACTTGACGTCAAATGTCGTCTCGATGGATCTACAGAAATATATTCTTCAGTGCAAGGATGGTTGTGCACGGTCTTAACAGAGGTGGGTTTCAGCTCACCATTTACTGCACGGACTCAAAATTCAGATTGACAATGGAGATATTTCGACCTGAAGGATAAATTCATTTGAAGTAATGCATACGTAGATGATAGACGTCGTCTTCTTTGTCTAGGTTGTGGTGGCGAGTTAGGAGTTGTATACTCTTCGGAAGAATGATGGTCACTATCATCATCTATATCCTGAACACAAGCATCTGACTCTGACGAACTGCGTTGACGTCCATTTGTACAGACATATCTCACGCAAAAATACTCTAGAGTTGGGTCATCACTGTTCTTTCTACATATTGACATAACGTACTTGATATGTGTATACGACAAAAATAATTGTTAACCACAGAAGTCATATTACCGTATGTACTTCTTTCAAATAGGCCTCAAAACTGTCCCAACTTGTAAATCTTTGAGATGACATAATGTCATTGAATATTCGTCCTATATCATGGCATCGTCTTCGTTAATTGAAGAATGAACGTTATCAGATATGGTGTGGCTGAACTCAATTCAAATCTAAAAATATATTGATTTGGCTGCTTCCGTAAAACTTCATGAATTGTCGATGTGACGCACCAATCATCTTGCGACAGTTTGACCTTCAAGTGATCGCAACATCCAGCAGTGAATGATATCCCTGAGGTGCAGCCTTAAGGCGCTCGGTCATGCATTCGCATCAGATCACGAGTGGGAACGCCGTGCTCAACATGCCTTGCAATCGCTAACCAGATTAGACCAGACGATCCTCGATAAATTGATAGCCTATCAAATATATCTTTGAACCTCCTCACTTCTGTCATTTGATTTCACTTGGTGGGTACGATTCATATTAGGTGTTACTGGTTAAAGCGTTGTCAAACTCCGAATACCTGTGGCATCTTCACTCAATTCTAATTTAGTACTTTCAGTAACACAGTATTCCTGTAACGATTGTTTAAGTTGGATTATTTAAAGCGATCCCACCTATTTTTTAAGTGGTCTATCATTTACGAACAACCGTCATCTGTAAGCATAGAACCGTGAATATTATAATACGCAACGAAGAAAATTCTCCCATGATTTTATGTAAGAAAAAGCTTACCGACTCAGACATGCAACGTTTCGTGATGTGTTTTATTAGACTAAATACAGGGTTTTCGAAATTTCTGTATGCGTTTCTGCGCACTATTATTTATTTACAACATGTACACAAACGCAAATTACGATGAGCTTCCTCACTGGTGTAGTCAGCTACCGATATTTAGTTACTCATAAAATATTAGTTCCAGTTTGGAGAGATGTGATCGATTGAAACATGAAAAAGAATTATTAATAGAAGAAATCGCAAAGTTGTATTGTCATTTACAGTCGGCGGAGGATGCCATCGCAGAACACTCAACAAAGGAAGATCTTTTGAGTCAGAAGCTCAACAGGTATAGCATTTTAGCACATACATCAGCAAAATAAATCACTTATATAAGTGAATAATGTGATCATAATTATAAATATAAAAATTGTATATTCTCATATCCACTTTTTCATTTTCGATATTTATGCATAGCCTTCCTTTCATCACTCCTGTATTATTCGTTTGCAGTCCTCGTTTTGTTTTGTGTTTAAGGTTGTGAGAGTGCTCGACAGATCCTCTAGATTGTATACCTTGAGTTTCCAGGCATCTGATGCACTTGTACTATTTTATTTTGAATATTGGCAGACGTAAAAATCAAAGTTTAGTGATTAATGGTACAGAATATTGGCGTTCATGAGGCTTTATTGATATCTATTTTCTTTTAATTGTATAGAAGGATGAAGTGTTAGTTTCGGTCAAAACGTCAGGTAATTTGTTGTCACTGGTATAGTTGTACTCCTCACAGTTGTCTATGTATCCAGAAATAGGTATGCGCTTAAGTGTATGTATAAATATACATATAATGTTCGTTTATTGGTTGCAGTGTATTATCTTCTTAGTTCCAGCGAAAGGCCGTAGAAATTTTAATACGTACGCGATCGATAGGCAGAAAGATTCAGCGTATTTATTTACCATTTGCCTAAGCCCATGTTAAAAACTAGTTACCATTCAACGTTTCGGCCGATACTTGATTGCCTTTCTGCTCATTCATCCATCAACTTCCACTTATTAATACGTCTCCGTTTTGATTATTACGATCGAAAATGCAACCGGTTATTGGTTGTATTATGGTTAGCAGCAACTTTGACGCCATTTTCTGCACTACTAATGACTGACAATACTTACTGTACGACTTTTATTTTGTTTCTTCGATTATTGTTTCCAATTTTGTTAAGACCATCTGTTTTGGTTTTGTTATTTGAAGCATGTAGACCACTGTTTCTAACCATGCTATCCCTCATAACTTTAGGCTATTCTCTGATAAAGAGAGTTTTGTTTAGTATGTATTCGTTTTGATCTGTTGATCTTGTTGTTACTAGTTAGCTCGAGCTCATTAGGATCACTTAAATGTGTATGTTTCTGAATCAAATCTTAGTTACACGAAATAAAGCTTTTCATTTTTCTATTGAGATGATAAACCACTATATCAAAGAGCTGAATCCTAGTTGAGAATTTGAGACAGTTTATTCAAAGGAAGTTAAAAACTGTAGCAGTTACTGCATTTTATGAATAGCATCATCTTACAAATTTAGATATTCAATTTAAGTTTCCAAATGAAGATCAATACTGGAATCCAGGAGTGTCCGGATGAAAAGTTCTATGCAGGAAAAAACAACTCTAGATTCTATTTTCAACCACAAACCAACATCACAATCAAGTAGCATGTCTCGATTAACTTACTTAATCCATTAAAAAAAACACGATTGCATGGAGTTTTTAAATAATCTTACCATAAATCTACCTCGTAATTTCATCCTTACTTACCTTATATCATTATGTAAGGTTAAATATGCTTTTATTGCGGCTCTATGATTCTCAAATAACTCTCCTGTTTCTTAATTTCTCAAGCTTATTCACTAAAACGTTTTGCTTCAAAATCTATTGAAATCCAAGCGCTTCAAGCTTCTGACCTTTGTTTGTGAGTTCGTTTTTCACACTATAGATTTTTCTGTTAACATTTTCGGCCACCATCTAGGCCTACAACCAAAATTCTAGAACCATTATTTTTGTACCATCTCTTAACTATTTTTTTCTGTTAATCAACAGAACACTGCCTATTTCTTTCTTAGTTTTATTAGCGTTTAAAATATAACGGTTTAGTGCTTAGTTTTTGATAGAATTCACTGTTATTTCTTTTCAGCCTTTCAGAAATTGCGGCGGAAAGAGATGAGCTGTTGGATCGTCTGGACAAGGAAATGACATATAAATATACCTTGGAAAGGTCACTAGAGGAACAAAAGTGTCGCAATGTAGAGTTAGAATCTAAAGCAGTGGTATTCAAAGATAAAGAAGCTATGTTAAATAACAAGGTTATTTTTGCTTACTTTTATCGTGTTATAATGTTTGACCACTTGACTAGTTAAAACATGGCATTCTAATTTGGTTATTTTAATTTTCACCAAAATAAACTTTCAAAATCATGAAAAAAGCCGGGGTGTAAATATTTAAAAGGCTTCAGTTGATGAAAAATAATACATAGGAGACATGATATTCTGGTGTTACTCACGCGTCAATCAACCGGAAAAACAAAGCCAATGCTTCAAAAATTCCCTCTTTTTATTTATCATATGTCAACTTACTCTTGGTAGTTTCTCAAGAGTAATTTAAATTTGTCTCTCGAAATCTAGTTAGCAGGTGTTACAAAGCATAAGTTAAATTTGAAATGAATAAAAGGCTGGACATATGTTCACCGATAGATACTTGTAAACTATCGAAGAGTGTACAATTTTCTTTCATGCATGTAGTAAGTTGGACGTTGTAGGAGACCTATTTAATACATGGATGTCATCTAATCATTTACTTGACATTGTTTGACAAGTATTCTTCAAGTTGTACCTCATCATGTGAGTCTGAGAGACTGTTATTTAGGTAGCAGTTTTTGAGGAGGTCCTGACTCGGTGGTACAACACTATAATCCAAGGCCGTAACGTCACTGGAACAAATTCATCTATAGGAAAGGATGAACATTGAATCCTCTACAACGTTTAATAAAATATGAAAACGGCTTCTTTATATTTGGTGAAGTTACCATTTTACTTTTACTTGAGACTTTTTTGACACGCAATTAAATCTAATCACGAAAAACTTCGGGGCAGATTCTACTTAAATCCAAAGTAGTACTAGAATACATAATGAGATAAAGATACTGATGTCTTTACTGTTGTGGTCCCCAAATGCCCTCGTACGGCCGAAAGTGGGGAGAGTCCGCTCTCCCTCTCGAAATTCTCTCACATGGTCACGTGCATAAAACAACTGACAGTGAAGTCCTACTCACTACCTTCTCGCGGCATTACTGTTGTTTACGAGATCGAGAGGACGAAAAGCGAACGTCCGGCTCTTTAACCGGGTCGGTAGACACGGAAAGTCCATCTAGAGGAGATGAAAAATCCTGATTCCGAACCAATGGTGCACATGGGCTCCAGGATCCTGAGGGAACGAATGGCGTATGAACCAATCGTTGGTCATTGTCTACCAGGGGACCGCGTCTCCCGACGTTGCTCCACTGCATTGTGGATTAGATGTTCAAATCAAAGGCTCCACGTGTGGCCCCCTTAGGACATCACCTGCTTTGGCTTGGGAACCCGAACAGTATCCCAGACCTCACACAAATCGGGTGATTTGCGCAGTGTATATCTTTTTAGTGCCTTCTTGTACCAACGTTCATGTGTCTAAATAAAATAAATAATAAATAGTACTGTTGTGGCTAAATGTGGGGTACTAGAAAAAGATAGGAAGTCAGTTGATAGTATTTTGAGTAATAATCTACTGATGTAGATTAAGCATATATTAGGTATGCCTTACTACTCTTCCATCCCCAATATTTGCTTGTGTAGAAATAGGTCGGAAGCAATCTGGAGTTTTTGGTGGAGTCATATTCTTTAAGTTAATGTTCTAACTGTGGAGTTTTCATCATTCTTCTGAACGACATGAACAGCACATACTTCAAGCAGAAGTGGAATATTTCAGTCTCTTCACAAATGACAAACAACTTGTCCTGTCGACCTCGATCTTGATTGGTTGTTGTTGACCTTTAGCCTGCCATTGTCGTCAATTTGATTTTGATTTTCTCTCTCTTAGATTTGACTCTTCATTCTGTATTCGTTCAGGACTTTTTCAATTGGCTGAAAAATTGGATCGGTTTTGATGTGCATGTTTATTGCTGATTTACTTGAGTCCCAAGTTTCTAAAAGTCCTCTGGCGTTCTTAATATTCTTTCCATTCAAGATCTTAACATTTTTCTAGTCGAATATGTGCTTACAATTGTCCACATGGATTGATGTGGGCGAAGATATATCATGGCGTATGACAACTAGCTATCGTTCCTGGAGCTGAAGATAATGGGGCATTCACTCTATCCGATGCAGTTCACAAATCTTGTTGTTGAATATAAAATATGTTGTTAAATCCATAAGTTCTGTTAGATTTTGACTTTGTAGCTTCGTACACTTTGGGGGATTCGCATCATTGATTAGATGTGAGGATAAAGTTTTCTTTGCTAAGTTTATTTCGCTTGAGGTGAGTAAGGGTCTAACGTCGAAAGATATCATTAGTTCGCCGTTGTTGGTTTAAATATCCGTAATCTTATTCAATAATTGTGAGGTAGAATTAATGAAGTGATCAAATAAATCCACCAAGTGTTTCAATGTTCTTGAAATTCCTGTTAATAACTTGTGTTATGGGGTTGTGGAGAGTGACACAATTGAACGTAGCACAATGTTCGGTTTGTGTACTTTCGGCCTATAGTTGCAGATTCTAGACATGTCTCAGAATTGGTTTTGATGGTGTAGACGCATTTACTTGTCTAACTCTAAATCTTGAGTTTCAAAATTGTTATTACTCTTACCATAATTGTATTCATTACGATAAGTTCATCTTGCTGTGCTGATACAATGGCGAAACTTGGACATTTACGCCAGGTTTTCACAGCGTTTATGATTATTGAAACGTTTCAAGTATGGGATAACTTTTAAAAGGGTTCGTTTTACCAGAATTAAACGATGTTTATGGACAACTGCTCGCCCATTCTTTTTATATACTCCAGTCAGAACCGCTTGATGTTTTAAAATCTGAATTTTTATAATCTTATAAACCATGTTACAGTCACTAGAATGGTAGACTCTCTTAAACAGAATAATAGTTGCTATGAAGTACACAATTCCGTACTGATTTTTCCGCATAATGATGAATATTTTTGTTTGTTGTTTTATATTTACAAAATAACGTTCTATTTTAATATGTGTTACCTCTATCCGTTATTAGATTTAGGCTAATAACGTTACAATTACCTGTCATATGCAGGACTTAAGACTTTAAGTCATATATACGATTTGACGCCACAAATAGTGACAAGCCAACGTCTGAAATAGGCAATAAGTAGTTTTTCTTCTGCTCCGTAAAGCAGATTTTTTTATCTAGCTACACTAAATAGTGGTTTGTATGTTTACACTTGCAGCTATTTAAGCTGGAGAAGCAACTTGCAGAAAGAGATGAACATATCAAAGAGCTATTTCATATAATTCATGATTATGAGGTTTGTCGCCTTCAACAATATTAGAACTTAATCTCTTATAGAACGTGTTAAATAGAAATCAAGAACAGGTAACCAAAAAGTCACACGAATTATTTGTGGTAAGTCGGGGTTTCTTTAAAGACCAGCATACTACAGGCAAAATCTGAACTTTCGGAACTTCGTGCAAAAATAAATGATATTGAAGAAAATGTAGGTTAAATTTTGCAAACGTTTTGATGAATCCAGATCAATCTAATGCAAATATGCAGTTCTAAATTCAACGAAGTTGAAGAAAATATACAATCTATTTCATCATATGAAGGGTATGTTGTATTGTTGACAAATGAGTTTCCGTATGTGTATATAAGAAGACTAATTTGCCTCAATTATCTAAGTAAAAACGAAGCGTTTCATCATTTTCATGTCCAAGTCACGATAAAATTTATTACTGTTCGCTAAGGCTATAAATGCACCAAATTATTTATTATTAGTGATATATGATGTTATCGACAGAAATGTCTTGGATTCATTGTTCATTAACCAACAAGGAATGGTATTTCTAGACGTAGGTAAGTAGAAACTAAGTTAGGAAGACATATCGTTTCATAAAAAATGGAAAAACGAAATTCTACGAAAGCTGCTATATGAAGTCAACCGTATCGAAAGTTCACGATCGATACCATTAACTGATTGAGTTAACCATCACTCAGCTATGTACTAACTTTCTAATTTGGTTCTACTGTGGTTTTATCAAATATGGTAAAATATTTCGCAAAGATGTTAGTTGACTTTTATATTTCCGAACTGAAAGGTCTGAGCACGTACTGTTTAGTCAGTACACTAATTTTTAATAAAATGTTAAACATAGCACAATAATATTCATATATAAATATATTTTTCCACTTAGTTTATGATTGAGTATGATTGAGTAAAGGAATCTAAAATTGGTTTTAAAATGTTAAATACATACGGAATAAATTTAAATTACTTAATTATAAAATATATTATTAGGTAAAAAAAGATTACTAAGTCGACTAGTTGCAAAATAGTGCAATAAATGAAAACCGGTGATAAATATTTAATCTTACTCTCATTCTGAAACAGTTGTCGGTGGACTTGCGACTAAATATTTATCGTTTAGTCTTAAAGTTAGCATTTGTTAGGATGTGCAGAAAAATATACCAATAATTATCATTTTAAGTCTAATGGTGGCCTTGGACTTTAAATGTACACTCCCTATTGGTCGATATTTATTTCACTTGTAAAATACTGTACAAATGTTTTCTATTTTATGGTACAATGTGGTCTGGTTAATTGGTATGTAAATAGAGTATGTCTGAAATATAATGATTCATATCTCAGAGGCTAAGACTTGCGTTCTGGACTCAACTGGATGGGCTAGACAGGGAAGCGGGACCAATCGGGACTCTAGGCCGTTCATTACGCGTTTTACGTGACATTGATCCGATCGATAATACGCTGCTACCGTCAAATCTGCACAACGCGTTACAACAGCATTGTTGGTATTTTTATTGACTCTCAACGAGTTAATAATCCATGCCATCACAAATTAAATAAAAGTTCATACTCTCTGCACAAGTGAGTGACTATCCTGACTCAGTATCAAGGTTAATAACGCGTCAGGCGTTTGAAACAAAAGGTAGTGTATCCGAATACGGGATTTAACATGAACTCTGGAATGCAGGTGCATCCATTTGATAGGCCTCAAAAAGGGTGCCTCCTGCATTTTATTGTTAATAGCACTATATATATTCTATATAAATGCATTTTACTTAACCCACAAACATAATAACAGACGTTATCAAATCCAACTAATTTCATTCCGGTCAAAGCCTGGCCATACTTTTGTTTGACTAAAACTGTAAAAGTCCTAATGTTCAAGTTAAAAATGTATTGCATCTGAAACAAAAGACAAGACAGGAAATAAACTATCTTCAAGTGATTATTAATTCATAGTTTTCCCTAGATGTACTAATTTTATCTTTGTCTGTTCATCGAAATTTAGTTGTGGATAGTAAAATGACTTTTTAGCTAATGAATTTGTTATATTCGTTTCAAATTGAAAACAGGTCTAACTTGCCGAGGAATGTTCCAGACATTGATCACAGCCAGTCGAAAATTTCAGTAATCCAGTCACACAACGAGGAGTCATTGATTCAAGTTCAGCCACCAACTGCAAAAATCAATCAGAAAAGCTTAGCTGACGAACTTTTTGAAATGGAAGCTGATCACTCTATTTTACTTAGATATGGTATTCGAAACTCATTTACTTTTGAAAATAAAACAGTAGAAGAATCCCTAAGAGATCTGGTACAGATATTTTTAAAATTTTATACGTCCCTTATTTATAACTGTATGTATTTATAAACACATTTTCGCTATTGATTTGTCCATTCACTTTCGAATGTTTCAATTGGTTCTATCCCAAATGTTTTCATTGATGATTAACGTCGTAGTACCTGAAACAGGAATGAAATAACTATGTAATCCTCTTCTCGCTTTTAGTGGTTCTCTAGCTGATATCAGTCATTTATGAAACTCATTTCAAACACAAACGTTTAAGTTAGGTAATAAACGCTTACTATAGCAAAGGTGATTCATCGATCGGTGTCGATATGTGGAAGCTAACGTACACATCCTTTGAACACTATTAGAAAGTTTTGCATCATCTATTGAGTCTGATGTTGTTTACTACTGAGATAGAGTTATTTAACGAGCATACTATCAAACAACACTGTATATGATTCACAATAATTTAACACAATGTAAACTTTATAGTTGTTTTTATTGTCGCTAATTATCAAGTATTTTTGAATGTATTATCAAATAATATTTATATTCATCAGGAACTTTTTTAGAAAATAATCAATACTACTGATTTTAGTGGCATTTATCACTTTAAAAAGCGCCAAGCTGTCAAGCTATGCATTACGAAAGTAATTAACTTTATATTGGTTATCATCTGAAAATTAAAATGACCGAATTAATTGTATAACAGTGTATCTTATCATGATTTAGCACATGTGTCACTTCCAAGTATAGAATATTTTGATTTTGAGTTACTTTGTTGTTAAAATAAATAATGTCTTCTAAAACTATTGGTATATTACTTTGGAGAGGTTTTCTGAAGAACAGTCATACTGAATTCGAACACAGTATTTTCAACACCTTTAATACCAGATATAATGAATGAATTCGATATAAGCATTTAAGATACAGTGTAATGGAATTCATAGTAAAAGTATGTTTAATGGATGAAGACACTGATGGATCATTAAATAACCTCCCAGTTTTTAAATTATGTGCATAATTTACATATAAATCGAATTCAAAATTAAAGTTCATTTTTTTCCAACATTAAAACAAAAGTTCAGCTATCTAATTTACTTTAACAGTTGCAATATCCTTAAACTACACATTTTGATTCATTTCTTGATACAAGTCGATTCGTCTTCATACCTTCAAACTAGAACTGAGATGCAAAAGAAACTTGTTACGACACTACGATTACTGCTTACTGGATTATGAAAAAATACACGAAGGAAAACGTTACTGGTCTGCAGAAGACATAAATGATTTCAAATGTGAATCAGAGACATATTTCCACTTAATCATTAAACAATGCACGGAAATTTCAGTGTTGTAAGTTTAATCGAGTTAAATTACAAAGTAACCGAAGGTAAGCAAAGTCACAACGATAACTCAGTTCTAAACTTTTGTCCAAGTATGTTCACATGTTGAATTCGGTTTGTAGTGTCAATGTGAATTATTCAATCCGAACTGAGTCCAAAGTATAGCACATGAGGCTGTGTATCTAATTTCACGCAAGTCCATGGCAGGGGTCAAGTTAGAAGTTTTCATACATATATATAAACTGAGTTCATATGAAGCGTATGTTTGTACTTTTATCTTAATATAAAAAGTAGTCAAAGACAAACTAAACAGTTAACTAAACAATTGGATGTCAGTTGTCGTTTTCGGTATTATTGGTCATAATACTTGAGGTATAAAAGGAATATATAGTAGCAAATAACTTGTTTTCATTTTGTTAACTGTACTTCATTCTGCCTACGAAGATTATTTTGATTCGCCCTTATATCCATGTGTTCGGATGTCAATTCTTCTTTAGAAGGCGAAAGAACTTTCTGAAAGACTTTGGTTTCATTGAAGTCAGTTTGTATCCGGTTTCCAATAAACATAATGATGAGTGAATAAGAACTGTACTTGAAATGTGTTTTAGTCCTCAGAAAGTAGGAAAATGGATCACTAATAGTACTACTGTTCAGGTCAATCTTTATGAAAGCGTTTAAATCATAAAGACAATTTATTTAGACTTTATTACGTTCACAGTCAAAACTTAACACTCAAAAACTGGAATTATACTGAGTAATTTAAATAATGTTTCTTAAGTCCCAGAACTATACGGTTTACTGAAATAAGCAAATTATAATAAAAACTAATAGGGACTCATTCCCTACAAACTATTTTTTTAAAAGGACAGTTATAATTGCCGCTAAAAATTTCGAAACAGTGACATTAAATATGTTGTTCGTCTAATCTTATGAAAACTTTATTAACGGTAACAGACTCTTGAGTTACTGCACTCAATCATTTATCAAGTTGTCTGTTTTATTTAGTGTAGTTTGTTATGGTTCTGCGAATTTACTCCATCAATCACTTAAAATAGTGTCCACAGACCAGCGCTCTCTCCATAATCATGTGCAATAAACTAACTACATAAGTAACCAGAAAAATAAACGATAAATCGTATGGTTTTATCCTTTAAATTTATTTTTTATTATTCTGAACTACTTAGAACAGGAATGCATTTTCAAAAAGCACCAACACTTTGGACCAATGTGCCATCAAATTTCGGAGCGCGATTTCCAATGGTAGGTTACTTCGCTATCCATTCACTTTGTTATAAAACTGCGATAAACCAAAATAAAAATGGTGACATTCATTTCATAAAACAAAATTACGCTTTTTGATGAACTTACCTTAGATGTTTTTCGTCATTCTTCATCTTATAGAGTCCCTCTCCTAAGTATTCACTTTATATTGTAGACACTCATAAATCGATCTACTTTGGAAACGAGATCATCTTCAACACATGCTGTATTTTTTTCAGGTAAGTCAAGAAATAAAATTAAAATAAGGGATTGTGAAACTGGCATAAATAGACATTACCCATAGGACCTTAATAATGTACATAAATTGTTTCTGTTCTTGGTATATCAATAAATAATTAAATAGAGCAAGAACAAAGATTGGTGCAGAATAATATGAATTCATTTTATTTCGTTAAATTCTCATCAGCTGCTTACAACCTAAATTATTTGAAATTCAAATTATTACAGATATTGACATATTTATACGTAAGAGTGTGATTAAGGATCAATACATGTGTATGATGATGTAGCGAATATTCAGATAGAGTTAATGAGCTCATAAAATGTTTGATTCGAATAAATAAATAAAGTTTGAGAGGGAAAGTTCCAGAACATTGAAATAGTGATTAGAACTCATGAAAATAGATTAATGGTAATAAAGAAAATATGAATTGAAATCAATCATTTATGTATGATGTAATTTATATTTCAGAAAGAGTTGCAATAATGACGTAATAAATAAATAAATAGGAGCAAATTAATAGAAAAAGTGGGGGTTATTGTTACCAGGGTAAAGAAAGATTTATTACTGTCTCTTTTTGTATACATAGGTCTGGTTTTAAACGCTTGATTGCTAACGCTTCAGCGAATTTCAAAAGGTTCGAGTTTGATTGTTTGTTAATCACCTTGAAGGACTTCAGTATATCAGCTTTATGTCCTGTATCAAGGAGATGTCTGGCGATAGCACTGTTGAATGCGTTCAATCCATTTAACCTTAAACTTTTCGGAATATGTTCTTTGAATCGGACGTAGGCTCTCCTTTCTGTTCTACCAATGTAACTGCTTTGGCAGGTACATGTAAATTTGTATACACAGTTGGTAATTTGCTCCTATTTATTTATTTATTACGTCATTATTGCAACTCTTTCTGAAATATAAATTACATCATACATAAATGATTGATTTCAATTCATATTTTCTTTATTACCATTAATCTATTTTCATGAGTTCTAATCACTATTTCAATGTTCTGGAACTTTCCCTCTCAAACTTTATTTATTTATTCGAATCAAACATTTTATGAGCTCATTAACTCTATCTGAATATTCGCTACATCATCATACACATGTATTGATCCTTAATCACACTCTTATATATAAATATGTCAATATCTGTAATAATTTGAATTTCAAATAATTTAGGTTGTAAGCAGCTGATGAGAATTTAACGAAATAAAATGAATTCATATTATTCTGCACCAATCTTTGTTCTTGCTCTATTTAAGATAATAAAGGGAACTATGTGTATGAAATTTTTCAGTAAATAATTAAACGACTAGTGGACTAAAATAATGAGCACAGTAGTACCAGAACATATTTACAAGTATATTTCCAGTAAAATGATAAGTAAACAGAAGACTAAGAAGTCATTTTATCATAAAAAGACAAGAAATAGTTCATTGATTAGATTAGTTCTATTGACAAAGTTATTTAGATATTTTTGTGCACGATAGGTCGTATGAGACTTAGGTAGTTTTGCAAATCAAAAGTTATGTCAAAGTAATTGGATATGCTTTGTAAGATAGGTAAATAGATATGCGTCATATAAAAACAACCTTACCAAATATGCTATCTTTCTGTATTTAATAAAACATTTAATAAATCTAAAACTTGTTCACATCAGTAGAGGGATGAAGAATAAATGAAACGAAGTGCCTAACTTTACTGTTTTATGTTTGAGAAAAATAAGTTGTTACCTGAACATCATATTTTATTCTAAAATCAGAAGTTTGTAATTTAATGAAACTTATGAAAATGTACGAAGGAATATCAGAGGACGGAAGCTTGGTAAATGAGAAGTGTATGAGGCACCTTTTAAGAAAATAAATGTTTCAATTGAATAAGGAAATCGATATGCATGTCGTAATAAAACGTTTTTTAAAGGTGATGTATAATAAAATACCCAAGTTTCAACAAACCACGATGCAAAGATAAAAAAGTTTATTACTGAAAGTGTGATGGGAAACTATCCGGTCATTTGTTCTCTCTATATATAATCTTTCCAATAAACTAAAGTTAGGATTTATACTAGAGCTGAAAGATAACATTTACAGATTGTTCTTCTTATTCCAATGTAGTACTTACCTTGTATCGAGGACTGATGTATATTATGCATAAAGTTCATTCATTTTGAACAAGAAATATGATATGTTGGGCAATACCATCACGATCTAACTGCGATTTTTCAAGTATTTAATCATTAAAACTGAGTAGTTAAGAAAATGTAATGAGAATGTATGGTTGTAAACTACTGAATGAATTCGATGGAAACCCATAGTTTAAATCACACATACGATTTAATCCCTTGTGAATGGTAACTTCGTACTTGATAACTCAAGCTAAAATAAAACGTTTCTGTTCAGCTAATGCAACAAGATGTTTGTTTAAAACCCAGTTTAATAAAGGGACTGTCATAATAGACTTTTAGAATATTTGGATTATGACTGGTAGTTTTAAATCGGTTACTGAAATGATTTTTTTGGCGGCAAATCAATATTTGCTGTACAGTGATAAAAAAAACTATGAAAACATCTACTTAGTATTTTTCTATTTGTTCTTTTCATTAAAAGGACTAATCTTTCCAGTAGTACACGTGACTTTCAAGCCGAAAGAAAAATTTCTAAAATCCATTTCCATATTAACATTGGGAGGCAATATTTCAAAATACTGTTGGGTTGTTTGATTTCCGTCTCACAAGATATCTGTCATTCCGACATTTTCAATTATCCCTTTTCTAATTATGTCTTTCCGACTTGAAATATTTCCATTTTTTGTAAAGATCAGTCCATATTTCCAGGAGATCGGCTGCATTTATCTTCCCAATGGTTAATGTATGAACAAAATATTGTTGAACTAACTAACAGCTTTTAGGTGCACTAAAACGTCGACTGGACATAATACGGGGTACATTATAATTCTCTGACAGTCTATTTCTTGATTTTCATTTGTAGGTTGAGTGGGTTTTATAAAATTGAGTTGCAAACACATCTCAAAACCCTTTACATTGCTTGTGAATCACTTTTAATTAACATTTTACTGTCTTATCACTGATAATATAGGAAGGTTTGGAAAAAAAGGAAGAGATACTCGTAACGGGACAGTAAAACATGAAAAGAAAGGTGTCGATGATTGGTCTTTGGTTCCAGTGATTACCGAAAGAAGCCAGTTGACTAAAACCAACTACCTTATTGCTAATCAAGAAAAAGAAACTTTAGTAAATAACAAGTGAGTTTAGAACGTAAATGTTGAATATTTTGTGTTGAAAGTAGTTAATCAATTTTTTCACATTCAATTCATTCCTAAGTACTTTATGGTCACATAAACCAACCCAGAAATAAAGCGTTATAAAAATGTTTTATAGTATTAGCTATGCAATATATCTTTTACTTACCTAACCCTCATCTGACGGTGTCAAATACAAATGTATTACATTTATCAACCAATATACTGTTATTTAACATGGTCCAAAACAAACGATAATAACCGTTTTAATATGTGAATGGGTAAATAATCTATGCAAAAATATAAGTGAGAACCATTTATGACCGCGTATAACCCTAATCTTATTTAAATAAGACTCTCCGATCAATCGTTAACTAGCTTTCCAAAATCGATATTTTGGGGTGGGGAAGGTTTAAAACGAGTTCTCGAACTGTTTACAAAAGTTACATAAATCACGGGATGTAAAAATTTTAGTCAGATGACATTGTTGAAAACTAAGTCAGTCAGGACTCAAAATGTTTGTATTGAAGATACTGAAAGTAATCATTTACTGATGAAACCATCATTTAGTTTCCTTATAATTAGCATTCAAAATATAATTTATTCAGTTCTAAGCACTTTAGTAATCATAATTTATTACCTGTGCTTTTTAAATAGAGTTCATCTTGATTACAGTAATACGTATAACTGACTCGAGACATGAGTATGTAAACTGCCATCTGAATTTGAAATTAATGTACACCATTTATGAATAAAGTTTTTCTTAATCTCACTTTCACCTTAAAAAGCAAACATTTGACTAGAAAAATTATTTAGATTGTAAAAAAATTTCATTAGACACTACATGTTTTAAGTGTTCGCTTTGGTTGTTGTCACCTTTTGATTCTATTAGTTCCATCTAGAGGTCTCTGCCTCAGCATCGAAAAATGGACTGATTATTAAGTTAAACTGTTTTAAATCGTTAAACCATCATAGGAATTTGCAATTGATTTCTGAAATCTCCTAACTTTGTTCCTGAGTTGATTCGAACGAGATAACTTGTGTCCCTAATGTATGGAAATTTATGTCTTTACATTCTTTAAGTTCTAGATTGAGCCTGATTTCAAATGTCTTAGCTTTGATTCACAATTCATGTTCATGAATATTGTTATTCTTTACTTTTTAGTGAATTCATTTAGCATGTTAAGTATTTTGAAAAACTGTAAAATCATAGAGTTATTAAGTTGTTTTGAAAATCATATGCACCTTTCGTGTTTAGAAGAATATCATAATATATTCTTTAGAACTACACATCCATCTCAGCAGTTTTCCGAGACTTAACTTTTACATATACATATATAGACGATCTCACCGACAGCATTGAATACAATGGTGGGCAGCATGAGACTAAAACTATAAAAATGTCATTTAAAGAAACATTTACTAAAATGTTTCATAGAAATAAATGTAACTAGGTGACTAGACTAGAAGATTTAATGATACCAATATACTAAACAACAACAGAGATAAACCCTATTATTCTCAACCTCAAGTCTCCATGGAAAATTGGTATTGTTGTCAGAAATAGTTATCTTCGTCTTCATATTTCATTATCGAAATTTATCGAAAGGACTAATTGCTAGAAATAGTTTTTTCAGTTTTTAAATTCTTTCCACTTCCATTACTTTTTTAATTAGTCTTCGTAGGACGTTTGACCTTAATTTAATTTAAAAGACGTAGATTCAATCACGTCATCAGCTATTTTAGTAAATATCTATTACAATTTGCTAACCATTTTACATTTCACTAAACTAGATATGTTATTCCCCACTAATTTTGAAGTATTTCGCTTAATTCTTGTCCCAAACACAGCAAAGGCTCATGATTGAGTATTTTGCTACTTATTTTTGCGTACTTATTATTATTTTTATTATCAAGCCTCTTGAAATAGATTTCTTATGTTTGGAGTTGAACCCAGTAACACAAATCGTTTTTAGTACTTAATATCTGTTCTTTCTAGACTATGTTTTATTAAACAGAGAATCAGAATTCAAGTTTTAAATTCATTGAATGCTTTTGGAAATTAATGATTGAAGAAAATAATGATTAACTCTCATTTAGAGTTAAAATATTAATCAGTGACTGGATTCAGTATTACCCGTAATAATTTCAACCTTTTTTAGACTGCTGAAATCATTTCCTGCCTCAATAGAACAACTTACAGATATATTAGAAGCTGATCATAAGACTTTACTGTGTGGTATAAATATGGGGCAACTGAAGAAAACTCATATAGAAATTTCACTAACTCGAGAAGTTCTAAAACTTGGAAAAATATCTGCCGTAAGTCTGACAAACATCATTTAAACATTTGTTTGTTTACAACTTTTAATCGAACTTCCAAGCTAATGTCACATTACACGTTTTAAGATAGTATTTTTCATTAAGCAATAAATATTTTCTTATCTGGAATGATAACTTTTTGTATTGAGCAATCGATTAAACGCATACACAAGGAATACAGTATGATGGAGCAAACGGAAAAAAATATTAGTTTGTTGATGGATATATTTCTAAAGTTAAGACTTCATTTATTTAATTATGGAGAAATTTATGAATCCTAAGAATTGATTAAAAACTTGATCGGTGTTTATATCCGGATTAACCATAGTGAGTGTAGTAGTTGGGAGTATTGACTATATCATTTACCTGGTGAGTTCCTAGTAAGTTAATGTCTAACGAAACCTCGGCTCAACAACAAGCTCACTTAGCTTCTGTCGATTTGCATGAATTCTGATCTAGATGAGATTATTCTATCTATTGAAGAGGATATACTAAGAATCAGTTTGCTTTGTGTATATTTACGGTTATGGAATATACCTTTGAAAAGTAGAGGATATAAAGAAGTCGTAGGTATTTGATGATAAGTATGTGTGCAGAATTGCTTACGTATAGTATAGAGATAGTAAAAGGGTTGTAAACATTGGCGTGAGTTGTGACAGGTTGGATACTTATCGAGCTTTAGTGTGTAACTGATTGACTACTATATTAAAGTTGCAACTGACTCAAATCAGTAATTTCACTATAATACCTTACAGTTGTTTTATACATTTCATTAATATATGGATATATATGTAGAATTTATTGATATACATTTACTTTATTGAGACGTGCATCGCGCCATATATACTATTTAACAACCGAAAGGTTTCACATAGTTTCGTTCATAAAGTATTACAAGTATGTGCAAAACATGGGAAATTTCTTCGTAAAAGCAAATATTCAACAATGATATTTAAATAAGTAGCGTTTATCTTGCACTATATGACCACCTGGAGCGATCAGTATAATAGTTCTAGTAAAACATCGAACAAATTTTTCCTGTGAACTTGAGTTGGTGCAGCTCGGGCACATCAAAGAAACCTCGTAAAAACTACCACCCATTGTAAGCAACATTTGGATTCCTTGTGAATGATGCAAAAATAATATGGAATATATATGAGTATGAAGATATTAAACTCCACCCGTTACTCTTATAGAGTTACTGCAGCAAACGCATCCAGTAGAAAACAACTTTACTAAAAAGCCCCAACCAGAATAAACATATTAAACCATTTAAACCCTACCCTGGGAGTTGAAGGATCTTCATGCAGGGGAATTATGACACCTTATGGTGAAAGCCGAGATTTTTTGGATGCCACGAAGTCGATGCCCCTACTAACAACCAGAGCAACAGGTACGTGGAACGTCCGGACAATATGGGAGACCAGGAGGACCAGTCAAAATGCAACAAGATTGAGGTGATACAACTTGGCAGTACTCGGAATCAGCGAAACCCATTGGACCCAAGCTGGATAGAAAAGAACAGATTCAAATGATATGCTACTGTACTCTAGTCATGAAAATGAAAATACTTCGCAAATACATGGAGTCGAACTCATGCTATCCAAAGAAGCACGAAAGGCACTTGTAGGATGGAAGTCTCATGGATCTAGGATCATCAAACCATCGTCCAAAACAAGGAAGGAGTGAATCATAATGCATGTTGTTCAGTGTTATGCACCCACCGATGATAGCAATGAAGATGGTAAAGACCAGTTTTGCGAGAGGCTACACTCGATCATGGCGAAGTGCATAGGGAAGAACCTGACCATTCTGACGGGAAACGTGAACGCGAAAGTAGAAATGAACAACACCGAGTATGAAGATATCATAGGACGACATGGTCTGGAACAAAGGAACGAGAATGATTATATGTGGCACAATATTCCTCAACAAACGCATACACAAAGCTACAAGGGTCTCACCGGACCACACTATAACGAATTAGATCGATCATATTTGCAACAGTAAAAAGTCCAGAAGAACAATGTAAGAAGTGAAAATTAGGAAAGGAGCTGACGTAGTTTCAACGAATCCAGGGGAGCTCTCAACAACAGGTTCCAAGCCTTACAGAATTTGCTCGAAGAAGAGGGAACTCTTATGGAGAAAAACTGGAAAGAGAGCAAAGAAGTAGGTACCAAGCCGCAATAATATCAGTAAAAGCTGCACGAGGAGGAAGCTTGAGACAACTATATGATATAACGAAGAAGATAGCTGAAGGGTATGTCAAACCAGAGAGTCCAATCGAATACTAAATGGACAAAACGATCATTGAAACTCAAGTGTAGCTTAAATGTTGAGTATAAAACTTAAGAACTCTTGAATAGAACAGCCCCTCTGAAACTATCGGGAATCGAAGTAGCACTTACAGACCATTTTATAAATGTTACCCGACCAGCAATCGAAGAAATCAACATGGCCACTAGATAAGTCGAGTGGGAAAACAGCAGAACCAGATACCATAGCGGCTGGTGCACGAAAGTCAGATACAGAGGCAGTTGAAAAGGCATTCCACATGTTCTTTAGAATGATTGAGGCGAAAGAGCAAGCGCCAATAGACTGGAAAGAAAGATACCTCATCAAGATAATGAAGAAAGAAGAACGTAATAAGTGTGAGTACTACAGAGGCACTACACTAGGATCAATAACAGGTAAACCTTTCAACAGACCGTTATTGATTCAGTAGAAGTACAACTGTCTACGCACGACACTTCACATCAGTTGGCCAAATATCATCAGCAACAGCCTATTATGACAGTGAACAAACCAACTTCCATCTGAAGATGAAATTAGGAACTGGTCACACTTTACGGGAATTATCAGACTGAATCACGAGGCAAGAGCTAACTTGGAATCCTCAAGGAAAAAGGAAAAGAGATAGACCAAAAAACACATTGAACCAGGTATTGGAGGCAGAGATCAAAAGAATGAATAGCACTTGGAAAAGCTGGAAAGGAGAGTTCAGGATGGAGTTAATTGGCGATTTCTGCCCGTCGCCCTATGCTCCAAGAAGATTAATAGGCGTAAGTTAGTAAGCTGGTTTATTTAAACTGGAGATTTCGTCTTAAAGTCTGATTTTAAAAACACAGATGTCCAAGTCCTCCCATTAGGAGCGATATTTATATACCCTGGTTTTGATTCATAAGTGAGCAGCTCTTCATGGTCTCCAGTGATTGCTCAAACAATGCTATCCAGAGAAAAAAATGTGATTGCTATTTTCACCATAAAACATTATACACGTTTATATATATATATATATATATATATATATGTTCCATTGAGTTCCGCAAGTATAAAAGTTGATTTTTTAAACATCTGGCTAAGAACTATTCACTTTGAAGTTATCAGCAGTGCTATTAAAATTCCTTGTTTAAAATATTCATGATTATAAAAAATTCACAGTTTACTTATTTCTTGAGGTTAGATCATAGACAATTGTTTTATTCTCTTATGATCATTAAGCTTTTAATCACATATAATGGAGGTCCAAAAATGCAATAAAAAACCGTATTCAACAATCACCTTATGTTTTCAATCCTAGTTCTTTTTACGTGATCATGGATTAATATAGGAGTATATTGTATTCGTAACATGAAAATATGAGTATTGAAATACCCTAAATATTAAATGACCAGACAAACCTATCATGAAACCCTTCACAGTTTTCTACCAACTCATTCTCAAACTTCATTTATAGTTTTAAAAGAATCATTGGAATTATTTAGTTGTGTGCTACCTACCTTTATTATTAACAGAAAGTGTTCTCAACATTACATTTATGTGTTTTACAGACAGTTTGTTATATGAGGGACAAATATTTAGACGATGGTAGGATGTTGGATTACACAGATAATTTGAAGCTGAATTTATAGTAAAACGATTATATAATTCAATGCATTTACAAAAGCTTTTTACATTTAGAAAAAGGCAGATTTCGGAGATTTAGAATTTACCTAATGTTGACATTCAGATGAAGTTATATTTAATAAACGCTTAAGTAATATCCACTTTTTGGTAAACCAACTACGTAAGGTTTTTAAATAGGGACCCATTACTTTAGTTTTTTTACGAACTTATCAGTTTCATAAAAGCGTTTATAGCATCTCACAATTTAACTGACAACAGTTTACTGCAGTTTTTGAAATTAGGAAAACGGATAAAGCCAATGAACTTTCAGAATCTAAAGCCTGAACAGATCAGATCGAATTTTGGAGAACAAATATATAATCTTCTTGAATCCCGAAATTCTTCATTTACTCCAGATAACACATTTACCAATGCAGTATCTAGCTATATATTAACACTGAACAAAATTATGTCCCTGGTCAGGTTCTTACCACTTCACGATGATCATTCTTCACATGATAAAGGTGTAAGTCTTACTTTGGAAATTTGAAGTACTAAATGATCTGTTTATTAAATAATAAAAGAGCTATTTGATAGCTTGCCCGTAAGTCAAAAAAGTTTAACAGTGATAGAGATGTTCATTTCAAATGTAACTGAAGGTTACCAAGGGCCTCAGTCAACTCATCACAGATTAATCCCTTGGTGGCGAATAGATTTACAGAAATTGATAAATTCATTCTTCAGTTTCCCTTCGCTTGTAAAAGTTTGGAACTGAAATTAACAGGTAAGAGTATTTTTAGTTTTTTACAGAAAACAAATATCTGTAAATCGACATTGAAAATCTGGAAGCACTGGACGACCGTCTTGTTCTAGTATGGGAATACTTAGAATTCGGCATCCGCTACCCTGCACGAGGGAATTAAACCTAGGACCTCTGGTCTCGCAAAAACACTTGTCCTCTAAACTATTGATCCGGTATGCAACAATGTTAATGTCTCGATTCAACCATTCCACGATATCGCGAGATTAACACTAACGCCGTTGGCAGCCGGCTCAGTGGTCTAGAGGTGTTCAATTCCCGAGCTTAGAGTAGTGGATGCTGACTGATGAGGAGTCCTATACTAAGGCCAGACGGCTGTACATTGCTTCCAGACTCAGTGGTGTTCTAACCTGGTTCATGATTTTACTGAAACTCAACAATCTTCACAGCCCTATACTGATATCGACTGACAGTTAGAATTCACAAACACAGAAATTTCCTGCAGTGCCGAGATATTTTTTTCTGATTTCTCAATTATTAATCTAATAAACTTGTTATTTCAAAACATGAATGATATAGCTTATTTTGAATATGTTAATAATTTTGTTTGCTGATATTTGTTTAATATGGAGAGCTGTTAGATAACCACTAATCTTTAGCCTCTGGTCGATCATTTACTGTAAGCTACAAACGTTTTCTATGAGCCGCTTTTTGTTCTCATAAATGTCTTATAATTTATGTCAACAATATTTTTTGTGCATTGGTTAAAGTTTCATGGTCATATGGATTCAAACCCATTGTTGACTTTTTCAGTTGTGAGCAGTACATAACGTAATTTTTTTGAATAAATGATTGTGACAAAGTAAGTTTCAGGAAAAACACTTTTTAATTCATGAATGAAACTGAAAAATTGTAGTTACCATTCCAGGTTGTGTCTTACGTCAGTCACTTCCTTGGAAATATTGCTTATGAGTTTTATTTCAGCTTACATTAGTATAAACTAGTATTTTTGCATAAATACTCATAAAAACTCCCAATTACCCCTTCTTTTAACTATCTTTGATGTACATTCAGTATAACTGGAGAAGGGATATTAGAAAGATGAGCGAAGTTTTTAATAGCGTTTAATTATTATTATAAGGCCAAAAAGAATCAATAAAATATAAAATGATTGTAATGTAATTTATAGCATTTGGAAGATTTGTCTCAGGAAGTGATATGATGTGAAATACTGTGAATTTTGAACTTTTATAGCATAAAATAAATCACACTTTTGAGTTAGCTTTCATATAAATTTAAGGTTTAGTAAATTTCAAGAAAATCCTTAAGCATAAAAGTATGTGCTAACAATAACAAATTTTGTGTATTCACATACAATTAATTTTTCGAACCATCAATTTTATTAACATTTTATTTCTTTAAGGGCTATCTCCGACAATTGCTTAAATATCTGGAGACACAAATATATTTATTCATTCAAGAACTCCTTCAGTATCGAGACCCAAAGCCTATGGGAAGGTAAGTAAGCTTCGGTGCACCTTACGAGACAAAGTATGAAAACAATCAGTTCCTCACAAGTTTTTCACTAAAACTTTTTTTCAGGCTATAGCTCTTCAGTGAATATTAAAAGATATCAACACGTATAAGCAATATTTCCTATTCAATTCTTCAATACGGCATGTGATTAACAAAACGTTTCTAAAGAAACGTTCTAAATAAGCTTTTAAATCTTGAGGCGATCAGACATAAGCTAATTGATAAATGCATGAATCTACAGGGAAACTGGGTATCAGTATCAAAATCGAACAACTCAGATTGCATGCATCACATAAATCTTGAAACTCGAATTGACAGTAAATAAATTCCCCTGACAGAAAAAATTTGGATGTATAAGATAGATACAGATGAATTCAATTCACTTTCACATTCACGATAAACTCCTTTATCTTTCATTCACTTAAGAATCTCAGTCATAAAAAAGGTGATCACTAAATATTTTGTTGGTAACTTTCCAAGGTAACAAAATGTTCCAATTACATATTCAGAAAAGGTTTTTATTATTTCAACTCAATTCAAAATAAAACGAACCATGTAAACTGGAAGAATCAAACAGAATGTAAAGGACAAGTGATGGAAGATTTGCAGGTGAACCATATAACGTATGGTTCTCATATTTTATGAAGATATTCTGTAATTTTGTATCTGATGGTAAATTGGTTGTCTCCACCTGAGTTCTCGATCACTACATTTGGTGTCACCGCCAATCAGGAGGTGGAGAGGGTACAGTTCTGAGGACGTCGCTGCTTAGCCTGCAGGAGAGGCTTTGGATGGGGCGGTCTGGTACGGAGAGGTGGTGTCGAGCGGAGTGTTTTAGAGAGGCGGCATTAACTGTAGCTGTTGCCGTCAACGGAGTGGAAGAGTGGGACGTGCAGCTTCTGGATGGACATTGAGTGTAGATGATTCAGCAGGTTGCTGGATTGCAAGCGCTAGACACACAGGGTGCTGGTTGGACATTGGATTTAGATGTCCCGGCTGGTCGACGTTGCTACGGAGGTCAGCGCGCCGGCGGACTTGACATTTTGATGGAGAGCGTTGCACAGACTACGACAAAGGAGAAAATAGAACGGCCAGCAGGACCAGAGCGGGAGCGACTGTTTAGAGGGGGGGACGAGTGTGGTGTATGTCACTTATATCTGTTGAAATAAGTAGTATACAACACCAATTACAAGTGGAACGCCTGGCAGAAGAAGCCTGGGAAGATCGAATCGAAGAAAACGGGAACAAAGAGTAATTGTTACGACAATGAAGAAACGATGAAGTTTGAGAAAATTGATGGAAGATATGCAAATAAAGTATTCAATGTATGGTTTTCGTATTTTACAAAACAACTCTGTAATTTCGTATTAAACAATAAATTGGTTGCCCCCACCTTAGTGTTCGTTTATTAAATATGTATTTCTGTCCATCAAAAACATTGTACATAGTATACTTTACCAATGATTTATTAGTCATTGTTGCATTAAAATTATTCTACTAAAAACACTTATCTGAAAGGTGATATTTAAATGAGAAACTTCTCGCCCAATATTCATAAAATGATAATAAGTGATTTTTTATTTATAACTTAACAGACAACCTGTTTCATTTACAAATGTTTATTGTTACAAAGAATTCTAAAATCGAATTTTTTGATAATGTATATGTTTAACTTTTGTTTTTTATTCAATTTCACAGCAGCCAAGAAAATATTCACGTGAGTTTCTTTGAAATCATTTATCAAATATTGGTTCGTCTTTTACATTAGTGTTACATGTTGCATAAAATGTGGTTATAGACACATAGTGACATTGATTAACTTATTGAACATAGTCTAATACTATTGTAGGATATCATCCAGTATATCAGTGCATACAGTATATATTGTCTTCACTTTTAATTTATTTGGAACTCTTCGAATTATCTGTGATTTATTATACACAGAAAGATAAGGGAAAGTATTTGTACGTGTAAACTCGCTAATTCTCATATTATGAACTTAGGCAAAGCTCTTTACGTAGGATTTAACGATAGGGTGCTAAGTATCAAAGAAATCTGGTCATGGTTTAAGAGGAAAGTATGAGATTATCGTTGTTTCCGTTCATATTTATATAATTCAATATATATGAAAGTGACTTTTCATTCCTATTACAATTAAATAACCTACACAGTTCCAATGGCTTAAATATCATTGTAATATTCAAACAAAACATTTTATATGCGGAACACTTTTATTACATATCCAATATACATTTATAATTCCTAACCAAATATTTATTTGTATTTGTTAAAACAAGACTTGCTATTTGTGAAACTGACTTAAGGATTGAGATCAAACCTTTGATAAGCTCATTAAATCCAAAACCAAAACACGGATTTTTGTGTAATACGGTCCTATTATCAAACAATTATCGAGTAATCTACTTTACAAATCTCAGTTCGTGAGACAGTTAGAGTTTACTTGTGTCATAATACGATCTAAAAAGAAAGCTTCTTCCAATAGCTATATAAGAGTAACTTATGAAAAACGTATGGTAAACTAAGTAACAGCCAGTAGCTGTGTCAAACTGTACGGCAAGTCGAAACGAAAACTAACCATACTAAGTATAGAAATCGCTGTTAACAAATAAATACCTAGTGGGTATATAGAACAAAGGAAAACTATTCAGATTGTTGTGCGAATAAATTCTTAGTTATATTCACGATAGAGCCCAAAGATTTGTCACTAACTATGCTAGCATCATTAAAGATCTTATGCGATATAGCAAACTTTATTCTCGAATTTCGGTAAAAATGAAAAGGAGAACAAAACCGACCCATATTAAGATCAAATCACAATGTAAATTGTTGCGACTTTTTTAAAAGCAATCATTGCCACACTAATTTGTGATTATTTAAAATTTAACTCTTATAAAACCACCAAACTACCAGTTTAGTAACGAGAGGTATGTCAGTCGGTCAGTCAGTCAGTCAGTAAGAACGTAGAAATTCGTACGTACGTAAATCAGTTCGAGTCGCCGTAACACATTAGCACAGAGATGCAGTGGTCGATTCAAATCCCATAGTGGTAGAGGTAGTAAGAGTATAAGCAGTAATCGGAAAGATTAGGGTTTAAAGATGTTATTCAAGGAGTATAATCCAATGAAATAAATTCGGAAAGAGGAAAAGAAAAGGGACATGATAAATTCAGAAGATTAGAATTTGGGAGAACATAAAGAGTGGATGCACCTGCACCATTGCAAACGATTTTGAGTCATGTCATTCAGGGTCTCTAACCATCGGTTGCTATCGTCTCTCAGATCCCAACCAGGTAGTCTACACCTACGAATATGGCTCAGTCCACTTGTCAGTGACTTCATAGATTTGTGCCATGTTTTGGTCTGACCTCCCCTAGCTTTCTTCCAACCTACTCCTACACCACAAAATATCGCTCGTCGGGGCGGTCGGTGGTTGAACATACGTAACACGTGTCCCAGCCATCTCAACTGATGAAGTTTCATTACTTCATCAATTGGTTTGTCATCCTTACCTAGTACCCGTTTCCTTACAACTGCGTTACTTACTCGATAGTCCCAGAATATACAAGCAATGTTTCGAAGACGCCTATGATCAAATACTAGTAACCTATGAATGTCCTCTACTTTTACCGGCCATGTTTCACTGCAATAAAGTAGGACGGAATGAACTACTGCACAGTAAACCCGTCCTTTGGTTGGTAGATGGATATTTCGCCCACGCCATAAATGACGCAGGTTGGCAAAAGCTAGTCGAGCCTTTTCTGTCCGTGCTGAGATTTCGTCACACACCAGACCACAAGGGCTGATGAGACTTCCAAGATAATTGAAGCGGTCGACACGCTCAACTACTTCACTCCCTATCATTAGTTCGGGTGTCGATGCTACCCAATCCTGGAGTAATATTTTGCATTTCGAGAGGGAGAATCGCATCCCGAACATGCTTGCATTGTTGCTTATAGTGATCAGAAGACTCTGCATTTTGTCAGCGTCTTCACCAAATAGAACTGTGTCATCAGCATATTCTAGGTCAAAAAGGGAATCTCCTGGTAGAAGTTCAACCCCTGGAAATTTAGATGAGGAAGGTGTTATCTGTGAAAGCACGTCAACGACAAAGTTAAACAAGAGTGGAGAGAGTGAACAGCCCTGACGAACACCACTTGAGGTGTTCAATTCTGATGACAGTTCGCCATAAGCTCTCACTCGACCAGTTGTGTTCGAGTAGAGAGCCTTTATAAGGTAATGTACTTCTTTGGTACTGTTTTCCGTGGCAAACACTGCCATAGAACTTCACGATCAACCGAGTCAGATACCGCGTTAAGGTCGAGAAATACTACGATTGTGGGACGTCTGAATGTGTGTCTATGTTGTAGGCCGTGACGTAGTGTGAATATTTGGTCTATACAACCATGTCCAGGTCGAAAACCAGCCTGCTCTTCACGAGCTTTAGTTAGGCGTCGAAGTATTATTGAAGCTAATATTTTAGACACTATATCAGTCAAACTGATTCCTCTGTGATTGTCACAAGAGGACATTTGTCCTTTCTTATAGACTGGCACGATCAGTGATTGAGACCAGTCAGATGGGATTACGTCCAGTTCCCAAATTCTACCTAAGACCTCAGTCTATCTTGCTGCTAATACTGGACCGCCATCCTTAAAAATCTCAGGAGTAAACCCGTCAGGACCTGCTGCTCTCCCACACTTCAGATTTCCTATTGCTTTTTCAACTTTATATAGAGTCGGAGGACCTACATTAACTTGCCATTCAGGTTGACTAGAGATCGTGGGAAACAGAAGTGTGGCTGAAGGCTAGTTGAACTGATCCCCAAAGTGTTCTGCCCATCGATCCAATCTCCTGAATTGGAAATGTATAATATGTCCCTCTTTTTCGGAGATATTTTCGCTAACAGTCGGGTTCCTAATACCGGTTTCCTTAACAAGTCTTAACAGTTGTCTGCTATTACCTATTGCCACTGCCTTCTCCATCTCTCTTGCCTTCGCTACCCACCACTGTTTACGATCATTGCGTAGACTTCTTGTCAGCTTGCGCTTAAGCTGACTCCGCTCTTCATTATGTTCAGAGCCAGGTGGAATGAGTTTCCGAGCATCTATCAGTGCGATAGATGCTGCTGAGATCCAGTGTTTCTCCCTAACTTTACGGTTTACCTTACTAGCAGATATCACTGCTGTTTCCACAGCTTTTCGGATATCATTCCATGCTGCTTCGGGGAACGAGAGTTATGAAGACTTGGTAATAGAAGTGTTTACACTTCATTGGTATGATTTTTTTTCAGTGGATACATTTAACTGATGAATATGTAAATATGTTGTTCGTAAGGCAAGTTAAGCAAACGTCGTATAGGAAATATAAATTAAACTTACTGTTGAAGAATATTGTCAGCGTAACTAAGACTTTTAAAAAAATATTTATATGATTTCCGAAGCTGTGCTTAGGCTGAAATCACTCGGTAAATGATTACTGAAATTCAAGGGAGTTTGGTTTTAAGGTATCAATCTTGGAAGTGTTTTTTCATTAAATAAATACTAGTACTATAATGATGAATCGTATGAGTTAACTTTGAAATCAGCTAAAATTGATGCTTAGTCAAAAAGGGATAATAATTTTAAGGAAGAACTGAAGATATCTATTCACACTAGCTGTGTATAGATAATTTGTAATGCTTGTAACTTCGTAAATTTCATCAGTCAAAGGAAAGAAAATAGAAACCAAATACTCACCATCAAATGATAATCATGGTTTTGAAGTATTTCTCAACAAATACTAGGCGCTGCTTTTCGAAAGATAGAATCCACACGGCATTGCAATGTAACTTTATTGATACCACATTTTTGTCTGATTTTTTTCAATGTGGGAGAAATATTCTGTTTATTCGTTATCAAGGAACATCAATATTATACCCCATTGATAATCAGTTTTTCAGACTAAAATTTTGGGAAACACTCCACTTCTCTGTTAATAAATCAGTGTACGACCTTAACATGTTGATAAACTGTTTTCCGTAATATTAATTTCATACGTAACTAAACTAGAATAAATCTAACTTATTTGATATAATTTATTGTTGGAATAACATACCGAACCCTCTTTTGTAGGAAAAAACGTTCAATGATACAACTGATGGATATACGTACTCGCAAAACGAAACGAAATCGTTGTCACAATATTCAAATATGGAGATGAATTTAAAATTTCGAAACTCACCTGACCAGAAATCTAAGAGAGGCTCTCAAATGTTAGTTAGGAATATGATTTTTATAATGTTTTTTTCATTTGTGAAGCTGTGTGTATAGGCGCTATGTGTATAAAATCATTACGTGGTTATTATTTTACACTAAGTTAGTGACAATGAAATAAGTTTAAAAGTCTCATAAAAAAACTTAGTCAAGCGAAACACGGAACAATAAACTCACTTATATGCGCTAGTCATTAGATGTTAGAAAATCCAAAGCCAAAATGAAGGTGGAGGTTACAGTTTTCCAGAATTACATAACATTCTATTCCCTTGTTTATGCACTCTGTTGCCTTGGTCAGTCAGTCATGATCAATGCAGGACCTGGCAAAAATGTCCACGGGTCCAAGTGACCATACCAAATTAGAACGACGAAACGAATATAAAACATGAATAGTAATGGAGTCGAAATAATGTTGCAGCAATGATGTTGTAGAAGATTTAACATTGAGAATATGGTTCTAAAGAAACAGAATAGATACCTTACCGATCTATCCCGTGACGTATGCATGTGACTTTTTCTCGTGTGCATTGTCAGGCCGGAGAGGAAGTGTAAACGGTGACAATCAAAAATGGTGGATTATACTTCCGAAAACAACCCAGAGTAAACCCTGCTACATAACTATAGTGATTCGAACGTACAAATCGATTGTATAACGTGAATATAGGGGTGGCAGACTGGTGGTACTGTCTAGTGCTTGTTCCCTTCAGTATAACCAGAATATCTAGTTCCGCCTAGCAAAGCGAATAATTAGAATGTATCAGGATAAACCTATAACCTTTGCTCTAACACCGAACAGGCAATTGGACTGTTTTCCGAAGAAGTGGGGTAGCTTGAAGAAGGGAACGTCTCGTTATGGTGTCTAACGCGATACTACAAAAGGTGTAGGTTGATCTAGGCAGCAGGATGATGGCCATGAAAGACACTAGGCAGTCTGTAATAAGGCATTTTCTAACTCAACTAACCCTGACAATTCAGGGACCCAGACATTAATTTATGGGGAGTCTAAGTTGTGAGTGAGCAAACTGCATTTAGTCAAGACATGGAGCAGCGGGAATTGCAAGAGCATACGTTGATGGTGGCAGCGATTCTTAGAACCCTGAAGGCAAAAGTGACTTCCACGCCTTATTCAGTCCTTAGACACCAAATAATATTCGCGCAGTAATAATGTTTCAATTAGCTTTGTGTTTCCGATTACAATAATAAGCAGTTAAATCTGCTAAGATATCCAATTTTTTTTACTTAAACAGGCTTCTCAATATCCCAAATTTGGAAAAACCCAAGTGCCTCCAAATCTCATATTGTAATAATGTAATTAAAAGAGCGATAAGCCATACAAAACACAGATTATCCGATATGCCAAAGCGTTTGACTATTGACCTCAAATTAAATAACCTCATGTTGTTATTCTTCTGTTGTATTTTCTGTTATTTTACGTTACCTTTGATTATGCATAAAATCAGTCGATTTTCCGATAGTTCTATGTATGACAGCTCCACTTTAAAATTTTATTCATACATCAGGCATACAGTGAAAAACGCAACTGAAACATATTCAGTCTTGTGTTCCAAACTTTTTGATATCACCTTGAGCCTTCAATATTCAGATGGTTATCGTCCTATATGAACGGATGAATCTATTCACAACTTCAGTGCCAGTAATTCCTATTTGTTAAAGTGGATGAATTAAATTCTACTGACAACTTTTACTGAATATTGCTCAGAAAAAATGTCATAATTTTTTTGTTATATTTAATTCTTAAAAGCATGTTTTACTAAAATCTTGATTTCCCGCACATTTTCTACCCAACCGAATACTTTGATAATTATGTCGTAATGACCATTCAACCACAGAATCCATGTGGATAGATTTTCACAGTAAAGGATCAGTATATAGACCCCATAACTTTTTAGTAACACTAGTTTATTGCACACCTTTATCGACAAGCTTCATGATTAATAATATTAAGGGATGTTTTCGCCTAATAAACTATGGATAAATGTTCATATTTCATGTAAGGAATTTTTTTTAAAAAAACCACAGTCACTGACATTCTCTTTACAGAGTCAGTAACAAAACGCTTTAAATGAATGGAATCAGTAATTTATCAGAGAACAGAATAATGTTACCGATGACATTTTAATCATAATACTTTGTAGGTATAAATGAGAGTTGTGTATCTAATCGTATTTACAAAGCTCCAGATAAGGCTTCGAGAACATATTCGAAATAAAATAGTAGTACATATGGATAAGTTAAATACTAAAGGATGAACCGATATATATGTCTTTGTTTTCCAATAGATGCATATGCTAAATGAATCAGTTATTAAACAAACTTTGAGAACTTAATTAACCAAAGTCACATTTCATTAACTGATATTTATTACACTGTACTTTGGATATTATAAACAGTTTTCTTTGAGACAAAACCATAGTACAAGTATTTATTCAGAATATATCATATTATTACTTTAGTATAAGAGAAAAAATGAGATCAAAAATTTACAGAGTCTAAAAAGACAAAATTTCCTTGACCTAATAGCAAATATAAGATTGTTTGTGACGGTTTATATATAGATATTCATCTCTAGAAATTCCTTTCTTAAGTTAAACTAGTCCGTCCAGTACTTAGGAAAGATATACAAGAATAGAATTGAAAAATGAAAAGCAGGCCAAATTACACAATTAAAATAAAAAATAATAGTTGTTGCGGTAGTAGAACGACACATCGAAAGACTCTGGAGCAAATTCATTGTAGTCATTAAAAAGGCAATATATTATACAAATTTTGAATACAGAAAACATCACACATGTAACATGCAAGGCTTTCAGAACAAATAACTATTTTCAAAATAGATTACAAATGTAATTTTGAAACACAATAAATGTGAAGTAAGAGAGACACAGATGCATTAAATAAAATATATCTGAAAAAAATACAGATACTGTGTGCTAGACAAGATGTTAAAAAGATTTATGTAAGATTGACCATCAAAAATTACCTAAAAATAATAATAAATGCGTTCAACCTAAATAGTGAAAATAGAACAGATAGTAATCACAGAGAAAATACGTTATTCATTGACAGACTTGGAAAATAAACCAATATGACAAAATAGAAAGAGATTAAATGAATGTAGAATGTAGAGAAACAAATGGACCAGAAGGACTCTTGGAACTTTTCGCCTTGTGAGGAAAATCAGAGACTTCATCGACACCATTATCTGAAGGATAAAGGACGAATGAACAGGATTCCAAACACGAGCAATCGCTGTCTACACAGCTAGGAAGTGATCGGTTTCGGAAAAGGGTCAAAAACGTAGGTCTATGTCGCTCACGAATTGCTTGACTTCGATGAAGAACCCTCTTTACAGTCATTTTGGTAGTCGAATTACCATTGTAGTATTCGGCTAGAGGCTAAAAGTATTTGTAAGAAGAGACGGTTGAGAAATAGGACATATTCGAAAAAGTTAGCACGAATACAAACTTTTTTATTAGTAAAACACCATAGGCAGGACAGGTGAACACTATTTAATCTTCCAAACTGACTTCTCATATCATGATATTTTAATCATTTATAAAAGGACCAGATAATAGACTGCAACCTAAACACATTCTATGACGATGTTTACAAGCGGATTGGTCCTGCCTTTCACTCATGGGTAATTGATTTAAAATCAGTCAGCTACAACGTAGGACCAGGCACATATATGCATCGATTCAAGTTGCCACACCTCATTAGCACAACAAGATAGACACCGGATCCATAGAAGTAGTTAATTCAGTGGTGGTAATATATAAAAAAAAGATTGTGTATAAGGATATAATACTGAGATAAAGAATTAGTTCGTAGAAAGAAAGATATGAAGCGATCTTAATCACATAGTTTAAGCGAAGACAGAGAGATTATACAGCTAAGCCATTGTGATCGATCTGAGCCATGTTACCCAGTCTACAAACACACGTTACGATAGTCACGCCAACCCAAACCAAGTAGTCTGCATCTACCAACATGGCTCAGACTAGAAGTTAGTGAATTCAAGCACTGATACCACGTTTTCTTTTGGCCACATCTAACTTTCTTCCAACCATCCCCAACACTGGTCAGTACTGCACGTTCTGGTAATCAGTGTTCAGCGATGCGTAACAAGTGGCCCAACCATCTCAGTTAATGATATTTACAACCTCATCAACCGATTTACTATCATTCCCTAATACTCTGCGTCTAACCTCACTATTACTTACCTGGCGATCCCAGAAAATGCAAGCAATATTTCTAAGACATCTGCGATTAAACACTAGCAATCTACGAGTATCTGCTACTCTTAATGACCACGTTTCGCAACCGTAATGTAGGACAGAACGAACTGTTGCACAGTATACTCGTGCCTCAATTGATTGACGGATATCTCGCCTACGACATAGGTGACGTAAGTTGGCAAAAGCCAAACGCGCTTTCTCAATCCGTGCTGAGATTTCGTCAGACACCAACCCATTAGGGCTGATCGGACTTCAAGATAAGTAAAGTTGTCAACGCGTTCGACTACTTCACTCCCTATCCTTAGTTCAGGTGTTGATGTAGGCCTGTCCTGAGGCAACAACATGCATTTAGAGGGAGAGAAACGCATCCCAAACATTCTAGCATTGTCGCTCAGTGCTACCAAAAGACTCTGCATTTTATCAGTGTCTTCACGAAACAGGTCTATGTCATCTGTGTATTCTGAGTCGATAAGTGAACCTCCTGGTAGGAGACCAATGCCCGAGAATTCAGTCGATCACTAGGTCTATGATGAATTTTGACAAAAATGGAGATAGTGGACAGTCTTGACGGATATCACTTGAGGTTGCAAAAGCAGATGACAGTTCGCCATAAACTGTGACTCGACTGGTAGTGTTCGATTAAAGAGCCTTCAAAAAGGTTTATGTACTTCTGAGATACACGTTTCAATGACAGACACTGCCACAGAACATCTCGGTCAACAGAGCCAAATGATGCTTTTAAGTCAAGGAAGACTCCGATAAGTATACCTGTGTTCTAGAATATGACGAATGGTGAATATGTGGTAAATGCAGCCACTACCAGGTCAGAAGCCAGACTGATTTTCTCATGTTTGCAGTTCACAAGTGTTAGTTAGGCGTCCGATAATTATTGAGGCTAGTATTTTAGATGCTATACTAGTCAAACTAATCCCTCGATGGTTAGCACAGGATGAGTTTAACCCCTTCTTATTTATTGAGACAATCAGTGATTGCGACAAAATGCAGAGTCTTCTGATCACTATAAGCAACAATGCAAGCATGTTCGGGATGCGATTCTCCCTCTCGAAATGCAAAATATTACTCCAGGATTGGGTAGCATCGACACCCGAACTAATGATAGGGAGTGAAGTAGTTGAGCGTGTCGACCGCTTCAATTATCTTGGAAGTCTCATCAGCCCTTGTGGTCTGGTGTGTGACGAAATCTCAGCACGGACAGAAAAGGCTCGACTAGCTTTTGCCAACCTGCGTCATTTATGGCGTGGGCGAAATATCCATCTACCAACCAAAGGACGGGTTTACTGTGCAGTAGTTCATTCCGTCCTACTTTATTGCAGTGAAACATGGCCGGTAAAAGTAGAGGACATTCATAGGTTACTAGTATTTGATCATAGGCGTCTTCGAAACATTGCTTGTATATTCTGGGACTATCGAGTAAGTAACGCAGTTGTAAGGAAACGGGTACTAGGTAAGGATGACAAACCAATTGATGAAGTAATGAAACTTCATCAGTTGAGATGGCTGGGACACGTGTTACGTATGTTCAACCACCGACCGCCCCGACGAGCGATATTTTGTGGTGTAGGAGTAGGTTGGAAGAAAGCTAGGGGAGGTCAGACCAAAACATGGCACAAATCTATGAAGTCACTGACAAGTGGACTGAGCCATATTCGTAGGTGTAGACTACCTGGTTGGGATCTGAGAGACGATGGCAACCGATGGTTAGAGACCCTGAATGACATGACTCAAAATCGTTTGCAATGGTGCAGGTGCATCCACTCTTTATGTTCTCCCAAATTCTAATCTTCTGAATTTATCATGTCCCTTTTCTTTTCCTCTTTCCGAATTTATTTCATTGGATTATACTCCTTGGATAACATCTTTAAACCCTAATCTTTCCGATTACTGCTTATACTCTTACTACCTCTACCACTATGGGATTTGAATCGACAACTGCATCTCTGTGCTAATGTGTTACGGCGACTCGAACTGATTTACGTACGTACGAAATTCTACGTTTTTACTGACTGACTCACACTTGACTTATTAATTTCAGTTTTTTTTTATTAGTCTTAAGAGCTGTCTTGTGTTACCTACAGGCGCCTTCTTTGCCAGCTCTTTTGCTTTCGTTGCCCACCACTGCTCATGTTCGTTCATTAGACTTTTGTTTAACTTATATCTCACTTGTTTTCGCTCTTTATCGTGTTCAGAGCCTCGTGGAATGAGTTTACGAGAATCCATCAGTGCAATAGACTTAGTAGAAATCCATTGGTTTCTCGTAGTCCTGTGGTTCAAATCACTAATATATGTTACTGCTGTCTTCACAGCTGTTCTTATATCCTTCCAAGCAACATCTCGGTCATCCTTGTTTTCAGAACAACCTAAGTGTGACCTCAGTTGTTCCTGGAATCTACTTTTGGTTTCCTCGTCACTGAATTCGACTCTAATAGGTTTTCTTAATGTTTTTCCTGCGTCCAGTGAGGCGCAAGCACATGGTCGGAGTCCAAACAGGTATTCCAGACTGAGCGGCAATTTTCTATAGACCATCTCCAACGATGACTGATGGCAATATGGTCTATTTGAGTACATTGTTGTTTTGGTGCAGAGGATCGCCATGTTAGACGATGTCTCCCCTTATGCTTTTAAGCATAATTGATTTTAAAAATAATAAGGAGAGAAAAAAATTATTATTCAAAAGGTCAAAACAAACAAATAATCTTCCATCACGTGTAAACATTAACTAAAAAAACCTGTTAATCATAATCCATCATTAACAAAAATTGTGGCTACATGACAATATCGAGGCAATTTATTCAGGATGCACGTGTTAGTAGAGACCAATTAACTGCAGTCCTGAATAGCAAATATGAAAAATCACAAACTCTTACTAATATGTAAAAAATGTCTTAAACAGTATAGATATATTAATGATCCGATCTAATTTATTTGTTTTCTTAATATTGAGTAAATTATGAAACAGGCTTGGAGATAAGAAATTAGACATCTAACGCAAATGAACCTAATCCATTCGTCATATTGCATTATCGTTTCACAACATTCAACGAATTCATTGATTTATCAGGGTACCGGATCGAAAACGAATGAATAGGGACAACCAGAAAGGGTATAAATGTTAGGATGTTTGACGAATATTGCAAAACGTTAATGTTGGGGTTAACTAATATGAAGTGTTAACTTGAATCAGTTTATAAGCGAAATGAAATTGATATAAATGATCAGAATAAATATAGTCAACATAGGGTGAGCAAGAAAATAATGGAATAAAAATCAGAAATTACGTAACCATATCATTTCGCTTATAAACTGATTCAAGTTAACACTTCATATTAGTCAATCGCAACATTAACGATGTTATTCGATTTTATATTACAAACGATTCTTGATTCACATATTACAATTTTAAAAGAATATTGCAAAAGTAAACACCAATAGTCAACAACATCAGCATGTATAAAGTAACACCATATTCCTTATAGAAAAGTAAATGACCTAAAACACAATGATTTCATACTCAAATAGAAAAAAAGGATCACAAAATAAAACCCTAGAAACAAACTATCGTAGGACATTAATCTAAAATTGCACTTGGGTAAATATGAGTTATCCTAAAAACCTTATCCAAAAAAAATCTAAATAATTAAGTAATGGAAGCAAGAAGGACATATATTTGAATAAATAAAGCAAGTGTACTAAAAACTAACCTCTCCTTTTCCCTCATTATCTGAATATGGTTGAATTACGTTACTTAGTTCCCCGGATTCAACTGGCACAAGAGTTACACGATCATAATCTTCTCGACAGGTATCAATATTAACATTAAGATTGTGGGAGTAGTCATTATTTTCTGGGGGCTTATCTGAATCATTTAAATGTATTTTTGAAGGTGAATAAAAGTTTTGGGGCTGTTGAGAGTGTTTTGGAGGTGAAGAAGAGGAGTGTAAAATAAAATTGGGATAATCTAACTCATTTGCATCATCGTAACTTTCAAACTCTGATCCAGATTCAGATTTTGAGTCGTTCTCAATGAACAATGCATGAATATTTGGATAAACACCAGAATTAGAAAAAGATTGATTATCGCTGGAACGTTGGAGAGAATTAGATTGAGATGTCTGATTTGAATAGGGGGAATAACAAAATTCAGGATCTTCAGATGGTTCATAAATGGTCCGATTAAGAAAGCCGTCTTGTGTTGCCTGCAATGAAGTTTATGTAAATGAACAAAGATAACTACTGAAAAAACGTTGACTATTATATTGGGCCATTTCTTTACACGCTTTTACAGACAACAGTCAAATGAATATTCCAAACTAGAAAGCATCATACTAACAAACTTTGCTGGATCTCCTTTGTTCCTAAAATATCACGAGTTTGGGTATCACTAATTCTGTACAACTACTCATTGATGACGAGAAAAAAACAACAATAACTCGGACTGATTCTGTAGGGGAAGTTACTTGTAGATTGGTGCGTCAACTTCTTAGTTTATCTTATGCCTAAATTAGAAAGTATCTTCCACACAAATGAGAACCGAAATATGTTAAGACGGATGAATCCTAACGCGATTGATTTCAAATGCTAAAATGAAAACATTTAAATACTCAACCAAACTGACACGATATGCTTACACAATGAAAATCCAAAATGAATAGAACCCAAAAAAGGAACTGTTCATTTTACAAGAAATTATCTATTAGTCCAAATTCCTCAAAAGAAATAAGGAATTAATTCATAAACATTATATGTTACCACTATTTGACAGTGTTTGATTTTATAATCATAAAAATGACTTGAAAACCCAGAGCCAAATGTTGTATAAACGACAAATAGTCTACAAAAAAGCTCACCTTTAAGTACGCATCACGTGACATACCAACAGGATTCATTGATACGAGAGAATGAGAAAACTGATTAGTAGAATTTCTTTCGATTGAATGACCAGAAGACTCAGATACTGAATGTTTATCTACTGACCTTAAACAATCCGAAATCATACTCGACTGACAATCAATTGACAATTTTCGGCAAGATAAAAACGAACAGAATGAAGAGCATATATCTTTATGTAACTCTTTACTATGCTCAAATGACCACCTTTGTGCTAAATGTGAAGATGGTATGTATGGCAATGTTGTCTTAATAGTGGCTACATCTATGTCATTATTTCGTGTGTTATTTTGACAATAGTCAATGCAAACAGAAAGATGAGGACAGTAAAATGCATTATTTAAGTTACCTGTGGATTCATTTTTCTCAACTATTTCCATTTGATTATTATTACATAAACTACAATGAGTATATTGCTGGGAATTATTGTTACTATTATCACTGCGCTTGTTTTGCTTACACTGTTGTTGCCCACCTATTTTTTGATTGATATCTTTCAAAAAATTATCATGTTGAAAAGTGAAATAGTTTTCTCGCTTATCACTTGAAATCATTTCATTTGATGGGATGATTGGAAAATTGGAATGATTTATTTCCTTCATATTTGGAGATGGATTAGGTCGTCTTCCACTTCCTGCCAGCATACCGAGAAATGGTGAATGTGGGTCCTATACACAAACATGGAAAAGTTACACAAATATAGCGCGAAAACCTATGATTTTAACAGACGAAAATAGTTGCTTATTTAGACGTTCAATAATACAGAACAATATACACTGAGATTTTTTACGCAGGTACATAATGCTGGAGAAGAGTATATTGGATGTCCAAACGATCAGTAATACTAAAAACAAAGATTGTTTAAAATAGGATACCAAAAGCGCACACTTTAAAATGAATGCAACGTTTAGTCCAGGACATCAGACATTGTGATTAGATGTTACATCATCTCTGTCAGCTAATAAAACTATGTCCTCTAATTCAGTTACGCTCTGCAAAATATCTACAAGTACGCGATCCCTTATTTGAAAACTTAGGAAAAATATGGCTCAAAATTACGTTGAAATTATGTTTGATTCAGATGAGAACTTTTGATATGACCGGATGAAAACGACAAAATTACAGTCTTTTACTCCTTTTGATTTTTGGTCAACATCGTTGCCGCTTTTCATTCAGTATAATAATTACTCAGTGAAATATTTGTTTCATTTTCCAGTGTGATATTTTATCTGACATAATATTAGTTATTTGAGAGTGATGTTTATTAAAGATACGATATTCTTGTATTTAGTTAACGTAAACTATGCCCAGCATAATACGCAGCATGTGATTTGTTATAATTCTAGGTATTTTTCATATATGTATCCCAACGTTGTTCGTCACTTACGGACTTCAACCCAATACTTTATTACTTTAAATGCCTGACGCGTTATCGCCATAGATACTGACTCAAGATAGACAATACCTTGTACAATAGGGATGAGTTAAAATTCTATTTTAAAAGCTTGGATCTTCATGTTGTTGGTGCTAAAGACTGTAATTGGCCAGACTCTTTTGGTAAACGTGCATCCTGAGCGGATTGTCTCGATACTGCCATTAAACAACAAGTAATCCGAGTCTGCTTAAAAATGATTGTGACCGATGGCAATCCATCCACGATGTATATATCATGAAAGCGATTAAATGATTGTAGTTCTTAAGATCAACACCGAAAAGATTTGAACTTTTATAACTAAATCTTCATTGCAAACAGTTCCAAAATTTACCATACAGTTTCAAAAACTTAAAAGGTAAAAGCTGATGGATAAAAAATAGGACTTTATTATTGGATTCTTACCCCGAATTCAACTTGATGATCTGGAAACTTTTCACATGGATGGATAAAGTCAAGGCCCATATTTACACAAACAGGACATTTTAAAGAAGTATTATATTTATAATTGCGACGACGATCAGCGCTCTGTATACGTCGTGTGTTTTGAATTGAAAATTTATACTTGCGCTTTTCAATAGGACAGACTGAATTACTTGAGAAAACATGCTGAAAATCAGATTCGCTGTGTCCGAATAATAGTGATGAGTTAGCAGCATTTCTCACTGAATTCTTCTGTCTACTATAACTCTGACTCGATTGTGAGGTATAATATGAAACAGGATAAATCTTTCCAAAATTATGGGACGAACGTGGTGTAGAATAGAGAGGAATTAACGAATTCGCTTTCCTGTCATCAATATCAGGTTCAACACCCCAAAAACAAAAGGAAGCTAGAAGACGAAATGCTGACAACAACACATTTTCAACAGTTGAATTTCCAGTGGGGTTCAAGAAATAAGAGCTTTCAGTAATATCTGAGCTAAAACAAGCAGTAGGAGGTGTTGTAGTAGACAGAGATCTTCCATAATAATGTTGAGTACAACCAGATGTTAGTAACGGCATAGAAGGGTCACAAATAATACAAAGTAATTCGTTAAGTTTCCCTTCGAGTAAACTTTCATCAGGATTACTCTTGAGCTGATCGTTGATTTTAGGATACCGAGTAAAAAAGGTAACCGGTCTGCAATAGATATTATCAATAAAATAAATAAGAGTGAATAGTAAAACAATGGAATTAATATATATATATATATATATATATATATATATATATATATATATATATACCATTCAGCGATCATTACAGTAAATTTATCATAAGTAGAAATAAGAAATTTACTATCAACAAATATACTTGTTACAAAGAGTAGTAAAAATCTTGCTATAAATTGGTCATTTCCAAACATTTCTTCATAACAATGAAACGAGCGCTGATAACGTTGTCTAACACAATGAAACCGCCGTAATCAAACTATCTAAATGAATTCAACAGTACTAAAATCTCGGTCAATCTACCAAGCGAAATCATTATTTTAAAAAAGACTAATCCCGAAAGAAGATATGATTATGTTCTTCGATTTGTTTTATTCCTAAAATATATGTATCAGTTATCACAAATCCAGGTATACTTAACTGGTTGATATAAATATCATCGAGAAATTACTGAGAAATCGATTGAATAATAATTGTGATTCAATGAATTAATTTCTATTATTTGAGTGGTTCGTGAAAAGTAGTTCGATTTGAGGATAGTTTCCGACACGAACCGAAACCGAATAAGAATTTAATGGTCTTCATTTCCAATTTTAGAACCGTTAGTTTTAATTCCTAATGAGGTTATAAGAGAGCATTGATCAGGAATCCCAGACTAGGTTGAAACTAATGTCCAGTGTTATGGTTTTCAATGAGTTTTCATTTGATGACGGTCGGTGACGAAAAATATCTCTAAATATCTTAGACATAACTCAGCAGTCACGTCCAATTACATGTATTAAAGCAATTAGTCCCTTTGATAAATTTTGATAACGTAATAAGAAGACGAAGATTATCAGAACTATGTGATACATTTCGAACAATCTGATCACACGTATACTTGTTAATAATATTTATAACAATTAGTCCTTTTGATAAATTTCGATAATGATATTAGAAGACGAAGATTATCAGAACTATGTGATATATTAGCGCAATACATTTCGAACAATCTGGTCACACATATACTTGTTAAGAGCATTTATATATAAAAATAAAAGGTCAACTAGACAGGAAACGGGGTAAGAGGAGATAAGGATAATGATAAGAGTAATAATAATAATAATGTGAACACAATTTGAAACCTAATCACTCTGGGTAATAAGCCAATATTACCAGGGTAGGTTTAAGGTGACAACAAACTGTTTTTGAATACAAAAAGGGGGTTTGAATTTTCGTATGGCTAAGGCTTCAATAAACCTTAACATACGCCCTTTTACACTCTTATACAACACCACAAAAGCCGAGTTAAGATCAATTTTATGGCCTGTTACGATATGTATATCCTCTGCTCTTATTGGGTCACTTGACTGTATTTGTTTCTGCAACCATTTTGGTACATGTTCACACACCCTAATTTTGAGATCACGCTTGCTCCTCCCTATGTATGTGTGACCACACACACATTTAAACTGGTTAACACGAATAATATTGTCCGACCGGCCATTTTTTTTAAAAAAAAATTTTCCAACCCCAAATTACAATATTTTTCATCCCGTGTTTCGTCCAATGAAATGGCTAGTTCCAAAAATTAGATTTAATTGGTTAGTTATGTCTTGAAAATTGTTATAAATTATCAGTACTTGTCGACGAAGCACAATCTCAATCGTCATTATGGAGCAGAGTAACGTGCCTAGTACAAGCGCTGGTGTTTCTCACGTAACGGAAATGGAGGAAGTCTTTTTGACTACCTTGTTTCTGGTTGCATTTCCATCGGTTGAAGCGTTAAAGACCACTATCACAAATTTTGAAAGATCGACTTACAGTCATTATGTAGTGAGAGATTCGCATATTGGCAGAGATCAAAAATCCTACATTAAATTTGTGTGTTGGCGAAATGGGCGTATAAGATCTAGCGGTTCGTCACAACGTATTAGACGGAGGAGGTAATTTGGTAAATTGTTTTATAAATTTTTTTAATGAAGGGCTTCTATGAACACCCAATGTCCAGCATTTATGTTTTGTAAGATTATAGACGGCTATTGGACTGTTGTACGTGGGAATGTACATCACAATCACGAGTGCAATTCCCTGAGGTACCAGGGTAATTCATGGATGCGCAGGTTAACGGATGGGGAGTTTGAAACTGTGAGACCGCTGCTGATTTCCGGTACCGCTGCATTCCACATAAAGAATTTTGCTTACCAATCTTATGGGAAATGTCTGACCGCTCAAGATGTCTGCAATATGCGGTACAAAGTGTTCTCACACGCGAACCTTCCTGGTACGGAATTTGCCAATTTATAATGTACACTATAGGTGATTACGGGAAATTGAAAGCTCACATAACATCCTTGGGTGGGCTTTGCGAATACGAATTGGACGATGAGAACTGTCTATCGTATTTCTTCTTCATGACTGCTGAGCAAGTGAATGGCCGGTCACTTTTGTGACGTAATTGGTTTTGACGGGACGTACAAAACTAATAACGAGAACGTCCATTTATATCAAGTCGTTGCCATGGATATGAATTTTAAGGCAATACCCATGTGCATTGCCTTTTTAAGTCGCGAAACGTCGGCCTTGATTTCTCGATTCCTCTTCTTTTTCCAACGGTGTACCAACAGTCGACAACTGGTAGGCATTGTGACCGATGATTCACCTGCAATTGCTGCTGCTATTACGCAGGTGTATCCGGATGCACACCATATTCTGTGTCGCGTACACCTTGTTCGGAATGTGATAAAGAGGGTAAGTGTTTCGTTCATTAACATTAACCCAGTAACCGTTATTGTAGAGGGTGCGATCAGAAATTGTACAACTGTTCTTTCGCCTCATGTTCACTCGAACGGTTGAAAGGTAAATCAAAATCTACATAACATGATTTCGTAGTTTTAACAACGTACTTTCGTTAATCGAAATGTCGGACGGAACATTTGGCAGATACGTCAGAGACCACCTTCTACCACGGAAACACAAATGGTCCACTGCTTTTCGACCGCCATCCACTCTCTTTGAACTGAATAATACGAACTTCGTCGAGACCAGCCACCGAGTCTTGAAGATGTATCACCTTAATCGAAAAACACCGGTTCTCAGATCCATTTTCAATGTGCTGCTTCGTACTGGATATTGGATGGAAGCAAGATTACATAAATATTCGATGGATTGTCGGGGGAAAGCCGGTATTGGTGAGGAGCCGGAAGTACGTCGACTTCAGGAACGACTGACACCAGTTGCCTGTCAACTACTGAAGCGACACCTTCGCATTCCTATAACGCAGTTTGCATTGACGGAAGATTTATTCACCGCTATGGACGCCACGGGGACGTACTACGTACACGTCGACACTAGCCGTTGCTCGTGTCCATTCTTCATTGAAAACGGATTACCATGCCGTCACATATTGGCTTACTGCACACACAGTAACACCGATGTGAACGTACAGTCAATTTGTGACAGGTGGTTACACTATGATGGTTATCTGACTCATATTGCAGTTGAAAATTATTTCCCAATGCAATTGAGTCAGCCAAGCATGAAGAATGCGGTGATAGCGTTAATCAGGCGAATGTCGGAGGAACAATGCAGTTCACTTCATGACTTCATAGTTCACGGTAGACTACCAACAACGCCAGTAAACTTACATGGAGAACAGCATTCGTACACCCTTTCAAGAACCTCGACTAACGTAGCAGTGCCGTTTATACAACGAGGAACTGTTGATTTGGATGAAACGCTCAGTAACGATGAGGAGGAAGTAATTTCTATCAACTCCGAAGAGTTAACTGAACGGGACATCGAAAATGAAGAAGAGCATGACGAGAATCGACTCTGCGACATCTGTAATCTTGCGCAGCCTCCGTGTGAAACCGGTGATGCGGTTGGTTGGGTTTTCTGTAGATGTGAAGCAATGTTTCATACCTTCTGTGCCTACGACCCATCGCCGAACGTACGAGCAGTGCACTGTCCTATCTGTGGCGCCATTACAAACTAATAGTGATGACGTTCGACCGCGAGAACGAGTAAAGGCCCTTTTCAGGGCCACCCACAATTTGATTTCCATTATTTTTTATCTACTACTTTTCCGCCGCAAAGGTCAAGTGATTAAGCACTTATTAATGTCTCATGAATTTAGATATCCCTTAGAGATTATTAGTGGAAAAGCGATTATCGCTCTTGTATTCGTAAACTTGTTTCTAACGTTTATTAGATATAAAGGTTAAGAAAACTTAGACAAGATTTTGTCATCTAATGAAGACTAATCTAGTAATTTTATATTGAAAATAATGTGATTAGCGTTCATGTTTTAGTAACACATTTGTAAACTATCTAATAAAAGTACATTTTGAGTACATTTTAATAGGAATATTTTAAATGATTGAAAATCGTAATTTTGTCGTTAGGTCAAAAAATTTATGATGACATTTATTAGTGAATGTAATAAGATAATTACAAAGATGAATGTGATTAAACCTCATAGAGAAGTAAACGAAATTGAGAAAATTAACTTATTTAAGAATAAAATAATGACATTAGAAAACAAGTTGAAACCATCATCATTGAAATGATTCATGTGATAAAAGGTCATACAGTAAGTGTAAAAAGAAATAAGAATATTATCCGTTTCATGAATACAAAAAACAAGAACTTCATATTCTTGTTTTATATTAAAATTTCCTGAAACCAGAACTATGCGTACGTAAGAAGTACGTCTGATCGTCAACTAAGCCTCCATTGTTATTCATAACTACTGATTATATCACCGTTTTCATTTGCACACCTCATCAACTATTTATGACTGGTACAATCTCATTGTACCAGTTAAATATTCCCTTAAAATATTCAAAAATAAAAAATAATTTAGGAAACAATCGTTTTCCTTAACTTCATCATCACACTATACAGTTATTAGTCCATAATTTTAATATTTTATAAAGTCCAAAAATAAAGCATGGCATTAATGAATTTGACAATGTAATATGTTAACAATGGTTAACGTTTACATCTGTAACGATATATATGTTTACAAATTAAAAAGGTCATTCACTAAAGGTGAGGGATGATTTGCAGTAAAGTGTTCAGTCACAATAAGTGACTAAACATTCTAGGAAAATTGAAAATGCAAAAAATTTTGTGTCAATGAAATACATAGTACAAGAATTGAATCTTGTCAATTGACATAATAATAATAACGATCATAAGGAAAATAGATAAGAATAGCATTGTAAATGTTCATTGATACAGTTGACCTTATTCATATTTATACATTTAATGTCGATAGATATTTGTTGAGTCAGTCAGACGACGTAGGCTTGTTCATTCACACTTCATGAAACTGATATTTCAAATGCTTGTCAAAAACGGTTACATTCATAATGTCTAGATAATTCAGGTTTCATATTACGGCGGTTAACAATATTCACACATGACTGATTAAACACACACTAGTTTTTATTACGACCAAAAAATTAATTTTAAAATACAGAACTACAAATAATTTACAAGTGAACACAATAAACCGTTTCAATGGACTTTTAAAATTAACCACATTTAAATCTAACGTTGTCTAATTCTCATTATGAATGAACATTTACAAAATAATCCTTTACTAAATATTAAGTGTCTATTTCGGAAAATTTATTACTACTTTCATATACTGTCAAAGTCAGTTCATTAAATGATCGTCTACGGTTGGTTCACCTGAATTATACATATTGCAACCAGTAATTTATCATGATGATTTATTGATATGTTGATTTCTTTTTCCCATTAACACACCGTGTGTTACAAAAAAACCTATGCACACACTTTGGTGATAATTTGTTTATTAATTTGGTATTAAATATTTGACTACCGACCTCATTCAGTAATCACTATTATCAAATATTCAAACCGGTTTACAGATGCTTTTTCCCAAAAACTTTTTTTTACTGAGATACATATAATTATTCGTGTTCCGATAACTAACGACTTCAATTCAAGGTAAAGTAGATCGGAAAACAAAAATTTATCCCAATACACATTCACTAACAGTAGGATTGCATGGTAATGCAATTGAGTTGGTGTCTTTTTCTTCAAAAGTCTAAATTTTTTTCAAGACTAAGATTACACAAAAAAAATTATTCATTATCATTAAATTTCAAATGTAAGAAATGAAAATTCTGACATCCAATCACAGCTCCAGATGTGATTTCGATTTCAACTAATCAGATTACAAAGATGTACAGTTTAAGACCAATCACAAAATTATTAAAGGTAACAAAATGTTTGTTCATTATCACTTGAGCACACACTTGCAAAACAAGTCCACCAATCAACGATACCTAAATTTTTCATTCACACCCCAAAATTTTTTTAAAAGGGGTGGTAGGGAATCATATAGGCCGGTTACTTAATGTCAACCTTTGTTTCAGTAAAAGGCTATTTGAATCACCTCTGAATGGTAAGGTGATGTAGATAGGCTTTTTTTTACCAAGGCTACAGTAGGTCACACTGTACCATGAACTTTCCACCTATTTATGAATTTCAGAGGATAGACATTTTCCATTAATGTTTTATATAGCAACTTAACATCATCAATGGCATCATTTGTACAAATACGAATAGGCACCTTATCGAACCACCTTTGTATTGCATAGAGCAATAACTATAATAACTAAAGTATTGACCTGTCCACGTTGGTTTTCTAAAAATGGATAGTTTGATTGAGCCATCTTCTCTTCGTGTGAAATAAGTTGGTCAACTAAAAACGTTGGTGTGAATGTAAATGAAAATCTTATTGTGGATGAGGAATAAATTTTAAAAATGTTCAGTTAGTCAAACGTGACATAGAAATTGGATGATCATAAAGTTCTACGGCAGTGTCTGCCACGGAAAACAGTACCAAAGAAGTACATTACCTTATAAAGGCTCTCTACTCGAACACAACTGGTCGAGTGAGAGCTTATGGCGAACTGTCATCAGAATTGAACACCTCAAGTGGTGTTCGTCAGGGCTGTTCACTCTCTCCACTCTTGTTTAACTTTGTCGTTGACGTGCTTTCACAGATAACACCTTCCTCATCTAAATTTCCAGGGGTTGAACTTCTACCAGGAGATTCCCTTTTTGACCTAGAATATGCTGATGACACAGTTCTATTTGGTGAAGACGCTGACAAAATGCAGAGTCTTCTGATCACTATAAGCAACAATGCAAGCATGTTCGGGATGCGATTCTCCCTCTCGAAATGCAAAATATTACTCCAGGATTGGGTAGCATCGACACCCGAACTAATGATAGGGAGTGAAGTAGTTGAGCGTGTCGACCGCTTCAATTATCTTGGAAGTCTCATCAGCCCTTGTGGTCTGGTGTGTGACGAAATCTCAGCACGGACAGAAAAGGCTCGACTAGCTTTTGCCAACCTGCGTCATTTATGGCGTGGGCGAAATATCCATCTACCAACCAAAGGACGGGTTTACTGTCCAGTAGTTCATTCCGTCCTACTTTATTGCAGTGAAACATGGCCGGTAAAAGTAGAGGACATTCATAGGTTACTAGTATTTGATCATAGGCGTCTTCGAAACATTGCTTGTATATTCTGGGACTATCGAGTAAGTAACGCAGTTGTAAGGAAACGGGTACTAGGTAAGGATGACAAACCAATTGATGAAGTAATGAAACTTCATCAGTTGAGATGGCTGGGACACGTGTTACGTATGTCCAACCACCGACCGCCCCGACGAGCGATATTTTGTGGTGTAGGAGTAGGTTGGAAGAAAGCTAGGGGAGGTCAGACCAAAACATGGCACAAATCTATGAAGTCACTGACAAGTGGACTGAGCCATATTCGTAGGTGTAGACTACCTGGTTGGGATCTGAGAGACGATGGCAACCGATGGTTAGAGACCCTGAATGACATGACTCAAAATCGTTTGCAATGGTGCAGGTGCATCCACTCTTTATGTTCTCCCAAATTCTAATCTTCTGAATTTATCATGTCCCTTTTCTTTTCCTCTTTCCGAATTTATTTCATTGGATTATACTCCTTGGATAACATCTTTAAACCCTAATCTTTCCGATTACTGCTTATACTCTTACTACCTCTACCACTATGGGATTTGAATCGACAACTGCATCTCTGTGCTAATGTGGTATGGCGGCTCGAACTGATTTGCACAAACTGATTTGTACAAAATTCTACGTTCTTACTGACTGACTGACTGAGAAACTTAGGATTTAAGGGAAGACAAAAAATGCAAGAATTTGTGAAATAACGAAATGAAGTTATATTAGAAAACATCAAGTTATCAAGTCACTAAACTTTACATTGCTGATGAATTAAGCCTACCTGCAATGAAATATGTTGTGGATATTCTGCATTGTAAATTAAAATTACTATTTCAGGTAGGTTGAGACGATAGAGTCATTAAAAAAAGTCGTAATTTTACGGAACCATATTCAATAAAACAAATCTTATACCAAGATTACAAGATAATTACTCGAAAAAACGCTTACCCAGAAGCTGAACGGCGTCTTTCAAAAAACGGTGGACTATTATTATTACGCATACGATTATCAATTCCTATGATGGGTTTTATGGGTCTACAGTGATGATATCCACTCTGAGAATGTTCACTACGATGTAAGTCATTATTCGTATCATAGCAACAGGAGTTAATCGGCGTGAAAAAATTACTAAACCCAACTGAGTGATTACTTGACTTTTGTAGGAAATCTAAATTGTTTTTACCTAAGATTCAGAAAATATGATATCAGGATGACAATCAAAAATTTAGTAGAAGAATATATTGAAAAATAATGAAAACCTGATATTTTACAAAAATCTACAAGTTGCAATGAAAACGTAAAGTCAATTAGATTTCGATAACATAGGAAACTGTTTGTCATCTTACATACCAGAACAGATCTGTGTGATTGACTTGCAGCAACATTTTAATTGTGAGGACTAGTGATACTATGAAATTGGTCGAGCTGGAGTAAGTGAAGTGCTCGAAGAGACGACTTCGTGGCTGAGAAACTGCTCCAAGTGATAAAAATGTTATACAAATAGGCAAGGTCTACGGCATTATTTCTGAGGTATTCAAAATAGATGTTATCTAAAATAGATCAGTGGTGGCATTATTTAACGTTTTGAAAATCATAAGCATATTTTTTGTCAAATACACGTGAATCGAAACAACTAATGACTTCTCCAGATCTAGGCAGCTTTTACGCAAAATCAAAACCAGATGTTTTAGTCAATAGATTTAACGCGCTACAACCAGGAGTAAAAAGTATTAAAAAACCCATTACCATTAAATGAAGATGACTATTTTTTGTCACTTGCTGGCATTATTTCAAATTCAAACTAACGATCAAAATTGAACTTGGATTTAACTTTTTGATAAAGTGATGGGCATCTCGAGATAGAGTGGTGATTGGAGGTAGTCAACAGGAAACCCTGGACCCGGGTTTCGTGCTATTTGACACTCGTCAGCAAGGTGTACCTGTGGTTTTGAAGGGACTGGTGCTCCCGTGGCCCGTATAGCCCAGTGGTAACGTCTCTGATTGTGAAGCTGGGTGACACGGGATCGAACCCGTCAGGGAGCACCAGTTCCCTCAAGATTACAGGTACACTTTGCTAACGAGTGTCAAATAGCACGAAATTCGGGTCCAGGGTTTCCTGTTGACTACCTCCAACCATCATTCTATCTCAACATAGTGCACCCAATGTCGAGGCACCTAGACTAGTGGTCACATTCCGACTTGGTCGATAGCATTTGATCCACACTAAGAAGGAGTTAACACAGATGAAGTTGACCACCACCTAGTGATCAATCAATTGTGATGGACATCTCAATGATGACAGAAGTTTCATAACTTGATAGAACCAACCAAAGTATCTCAAGGATCTCAAAAAAACTACCCAGTGATGTACGTATAAAGATGAAACAGCGAAGGCATCTAACAACGTTGGTCTATGTAAAATGAAGGCTTAGTGATTCAAGAACCACTTCTCTCCAACTCGATTTTAACTCCACGGTAGTAACGCTTGACATTCCCACGATTACTTAACCCGAATTCAAATATATACGAACCAGTAGTTCGTCAAGTTCAGCTGAAGTTACCGTCTCCTAGTAAAAACTAACGATTAGTCGGAAAGAACATAAATTATGTAAAGGATACGTCTTTAAAGTATTACGCGATAGTAAAAAACTCTTCTATTTGAAGAAGGAAAGTTATACGACAAACGTTTTCACTAATAAACATTGCAAGCGTCAACGGAAAACTACAGTGGTATGAAAAACCCTATCTCCATGACAGTCATCTTTCAAAAGTGGACTGAAATCATTATATGACTAGTTTATTAGGATAGATATTTCTTATTTATTACTTTAAAAGATGGCTTCGGTTCTGGCGTCCAGGCAGTATTCTAGTCTTCACACAAATCGAATGATTTGTGTAGCGCATATGTAATTGGTACCTCCTTGTACCAATGTTTATGTGTTTGAAAAAATAAATAAAATATAAGACAACATGCGGTAAGAATGAAAGTCAGAGCCTTTCCTATCAGTATTCACCGTAAGCGGAAGACTGTCAATGTCAAAAGACATAGGAATTAAAATAACATTTGCAAAGGAAACAAGTAGATAATCGTCGGAACCATCAATTTATAATAAAGGAAAAAATACATAGTTAAGAGTTTAAATCAGTAGTAAAACAGCACTCAGGTAATAAAAATTAAACATACTTTCAAATTTCCGAATAAAATTTTGTTTCCTAGGCAACCGATTCAAATTTCTTTGTGAGTTTGTTTGGACATCAACAAAACGCTGTTCACGTGATCGAAGATCTGTAATATTATTTCCACTAGAATAAATACGTGGTGACTTCGGATTAGATTTATCTGTCATATTACTATCCGACTTAGTGCTCACAAACGTTCTTATTTGAGGACTGTAACAATGACCTGGTGACATATTACGATATTTGTCAGTATTTGAACCCAGTGAAGAGCTTGTGATTTTAGCAGCTGGAATGTAAAACAATGTGATACTTTATTAAACTTCCTTAAAATAAAACCGAGATAGCGAAATAGTATTTCAAAACATTCTTTTTCTTAAGAAGTACCCTGAGAAGTTATGTGGTGCTAAACATTGAAATTATAAGTATAATATAGTGGAAATAATTTAACAGATGCAAAATAAACTTACAAGGAAATAACCGCATCGTTGACTCGCATAATCCTTGACCAGTAAACCAATCTGAGTCCACATGAACCACATGTTTCATATCTGTGGGAGGTGAAATTAAAGGTATTCCACCTTGACTACAACCAACTCGACTGGATGTGTCACGTGAAATCGATTGAGTTTCATCACAAAAAGAATTATTCAAATCTGAAGAATTATTTGTATTTACATTCAAATGTGAACGATTATTAGAAGTATATTGTGAAGAATTAATTGACCGTTTAAGATCCTTTACTTGGAAATTATTAGTGGACGAAGTAGCTGAATTAACGTAGTCATTATGTGTAGAACATGGATTACCATTAGTTCCCCATCGCTTAAAAATACTACGAACAAACGGACGTTTTCTAGGTGGAGGAGGTTTGGGTTGAGCAGTTTGAATTTTATGAGTAGGATCTTTAAAATGATTAGCAGCCAGTACAGCCAAAAACATAAAATGTTGCTGAATATTCAGTAAAAAAAAACTCGATGACAAGCAATAAACGATTATTAAAATAATTTTAAATTGAGTTACTGATTTGGGTAGAAATAACAGATTTCGGATTTATAAATCTATCTAGGTTATTCAATAAGTTTTGATGACCATGAAGTATTGTATTCTGCGGGTATACATAAAATTTTTTACATAATATTAGAGAAATTTGATATTGCGCCTGAATTTATAAATTTAGAGACCATTTACAAAATATCAAGAATCTAAAATACATATATCCTGGAGTTATTTGCGTTTCACAACTAATTTACATTTGTATGGTAAATGAAATCGTTCACTTTAACACTGCGGTCAGAAACGCTGCCATGACGCCATTAAATGATAAAACTAATAAATAGGACTATGTCAAGTACTAAAATTAGTCGTTGGATGTTAATCACTCGTGCAACCAAGTCCTTATTACTGAATCACACCATCGTTAATCAGTCATTTAAAATGTAGGACCAGGCACATATATGCATCAGTCCAAGTTACCACACCTCATTAGCACAAGATGAACACCGTATTCATAAAAGTAGTCACTTCAATGTCAGTAATGTATAAAAGAAAGATTGTGTATAAAGATATGATACAGGAAGAAAGTATTGGTTCGTATAAAGCAAGGCATAAAGTAGTTTTAATCTCACGGTTTAAGGGAAGACAAAGTATATACACCTACGCCATTATGATTTATTCTGAACCATGTCATCCAGAGTCTCCAAACACTAGTTACAATAGTCGCGTGGACTCCAACCAAGTAGTTTGTATCTACCAACATGGGTTCTTCTACCCCCATACTTAGTTCTATGCCTACACTCGCCAGTTCACGAGAACTTGCTGCCAGGTCGCCAGATAAACGGAGGGTATATCTCGTCTGTCCAACGTTTCGGCTAGGTGAGGACAAGTGGATGACCACACTAGGATTCTGTGTGCACATTTTGGAGACACAGCATACACCAATGGTACGAGATTCTAGGGTTCTAGCCAAGGGGGCCTGCTGGCCGATTTGACATAGGGTACGTTGAAAGTCCCGATGTGTAGTTTGGGTTGGAGTTTCAGGAGACCTGAAACAGTAGTTCGCGCACTAAAATCGTTGGTCATGTTGGTACTTAAGGAGGAAGTTTAGAGTTGATAGTCGAGGTAGGTAGACTAATGGAAATGAGAGAGAAATTGATCATGAATACATTGGTCTTGAGTGTTGTTATAGGTATGAGGGTGATTATCACTTCCCGGTTGCCCACACAACGGAAGGGTTCTTCTAGAGGTATCTGGGAAGGGAATTGGGCTATAATTGGTTTTAGTGACCTGAGAGCGCGACCGCAGTGTCCAATAGACAACTACTTGAAGCCGGTCACACACAACCTTTTTGTAATTTTTAAGTTCGCCCCGTACTTGTTAAGACCTTACCGCCAGCGACAGAAATCCGTGGAAAGAGCAAGGTTTGAATTTTTAGGGTTGACCTTTCCTAACCCCACCCTTAATTTGTGGGAAGGCGGCATCGCTATTATGCTGGTTGTCTGAGGGAAACACCTTTTACAATCAACAGTACGGCTTCGCCCTTGGATCTCAGGTTTACTGCTTTTAGTCTTACAACTCTCCAATCGACCTGCGTGGTAAGGTAAGACCTTGAGGAACAATTGTTCTAGCCAGTATAGCTCGATTGCTTCATCACAGTAGACAAGCCCGACCACCACGTCAAGGCAGTAACACCATCGATCGCCGGATCAGTGTGATCTTTAAATTAACTGAAATCACACTATCGTATAGATATATATTATTACCGTAAGGTGTATTTAGGTCACATTACGAAAAAAAATAATGAGCGTTGAAAACCCCTATTGTGATTCTTTGATTAGCTGGCAATATTTCGGTATACAAAGTAGCACAATTACACTGGTTATCGTAGATGACTTACACAGGTAAGAATTAAACTACTTACAAATATTTCCAAGAAGACAAATGACAACGAGAGATGGAACGAGAAGGGTAAAATAGATAAGATATACATCACAAAGAAAAAACATTTCATTCACGTACAAAAATACAGAACAAAGTGTTATTCATTCTTTGTGTTGCTTCGTGAAGAAATCCTCCCATTTTTAAACAGAGAGAATTGTATGATATACGACGCAAATACACTTTAATATTAAATATACAAACGCGTCATTCTTAAAACAATACGACAGGATAAAATTAATGGTTACAGGAAAAGAAAACACTCATGTAGGAATATTCTGAAGAATTATTTCAATTTTTCTGTTTTTCTACATTACTGACATAAATTACCTAGAGGAAATTACGATGCAAATAACATTCACTACTTATGTGCATAACCAATAATTTTACAGCATTACACATTACCATAAGTCATGTAACCATTCGGATCCTATCTATAGTGAAACAGGGACAAGTGCTTTTATTACAATAGTTTTCATTTTATAGCATCGTATTATAAGTTGATAGTCAGTCTATGTATTGTTTTTCTTAAACACAGTCAAAAGTAGGAATTTGAAGAAAATATATAAGGATGAAATTTACAGAACAGAACAAAACAATGAATCGATTGTTTCCATAGTCATTATCATCAAACTTGAGTTAGCGAAGTACGAACTAATAATAAAAAGTAATCATTGAAGTTTTTTTTAATTCCAGACAAAATACAAAATAAAAAGAAAGAAATCCTGGGAATTCAGGACGTAACTATTGATTTATAACGGTAAGGAAATCAATGAAAAATGGATCAATAGCGATTTGTAACTAAACCCTGCGACACAAATCCACGCCCTTTCAAAAGCAAAGAACTTGTGAGTTACACTTTGAAGCAGGCATATTTTTCCAATTTAAACTTCTAATTTAGTTTGATCAACTGAAAATATGCACATTAACAAAGGCACCCTTGTAAATGTTGAACAGTTAATACTCATTGATATTCGACTGTAAATATTATCACGTGGTCAATCAATATCTACAAAGTCGGACAACAGCTGAGTTAAAAAATCTCATGAATTACAAAATCATTCGTCTGGAAATAAGTAACCTCAGGCTAGTGGACTGTAACCCACATATCAAAATCTGGTGGATAACTTATACAAAACGTTTTCTTTTTTTAATATGTATGGACAAAACCACATCTAGTAGAGAAAAAAAGGTAATCAATTTTATTAACTTACACCCATTGTGTCAGCCACTCGATTATACAATTCCTCTTTTATATGAAGTTGATGAGCTTTTTCTACTAGATCTGCTCTGACCCTATCCAGTGATTCGCGATAATCACGTAACATTTCCAGCTGTGTTAAAAGTTCTGTTGAAAAATCTAAACTTCCACTTTTGAACGATGATGATAGTGCTTCAGCTACGGTCTAACAAAGTTTTTTTTAAGAAATGAGCAATACAAAAAATTATTAAATCATAATACACTGTTTGAATGACATCTATTTAGTAGTGAGCGGAAAAGTATTTTCATTATAAAGTTACGACAAATCTCAATAATCTGTAACTAGATAACTAGTTTTTTTGTATCATAAACATATTGTATTCCTTAATACTAACCAATACATATGAAATGTAAAAAATACTATAAACATGACAATACATAAAAGTGACAAGGTATCGCATTTGTTCTTAATTAACTTAGTGCAAACAGAAAAAACAATGGATACAAAAGAACCAAGTAAAGTTTGTGAAAAAATATGTGTACTAAGCAAAGTTAAACAGTGACAACGAACATATATAACAGGAACAATATATAATTTCGAAACGAATTTCAACGTTGGAAAAGTCCATGAAAATATTGAATGACTGCAAAGCTGAGTAACAGGTTCAAGGATTAACAGTTGAATACTTGGCATATTCAAGAATAATCATATTTTATTAAAACTGCTTAAATCTTTTTAGGAACAATAACTGCTTGCACATTCTTTTCCAATTCAATTTCCCACATGGTCTTTGCCTTCTGGCCGGTTGTCATTATTTTTGGTTCACTAAATTTCTGTATGCTTGAAGTTCATAATTTACCAATATGGTAACGACAATTGTACCGATTCTTTTTGTGTTGTTCGTTCTACGTCGAATATCAGGTTCCCTGCAATCCGTTTTCTTCCTGTGTCAGCCGTCGGGGTTTTTATTGGTTGTGTGTAAATGCTCTAATATGGACACACGTATACAGCCACTGCCACGGAAGTCTTACTACCTTCACGTGGCCCAGGTTTTCTTTACGGTGACAACACGAAAAGCGAGTGTCCGGCTCTTCAAACGGACTAATGGACACAGAGGATCCAACTAGGGAGGGTGGGAAACCCTTATTCCAAACCAGTGGTGCAAATGGGTTCCAGGATATTGAGGAAACAAATGGCGTATAAATCGATTGTGGTTATCGGCTACCATGGGACTGCATTTCCTAACGTTGCTCCACTGCCTTGTGGATTAGACCTGTAGGTCAAAGGCCCGGAGAGTGGCCATCTAAGAGAACCACCTGCTTCAGTCTGGGCTCCCGGGCAGTATTCCAGCTCTCACACAAATCGAACGATAAAGTGTTGCACATATATATTTGGTGTTTCTTTGGACTAATGTTCAGGTGTTTAAATAAATAAAAGTCTTAGATGATGATGATGATCAATTCGTGATGGCATAATAAATGACCTTAAATACATCATTCATAAGCCAAAAGGGTGTCCACTTAAAAATAATTATAAGTTCCTGGCTGATGCCTTTCATTGAAGTAATACGTGTGAAAAATGTACTACCTAAACAATTTCGAACTAGGGCATTTCAAACAATATACTATAATATTACTCTATATCAAGCTGATCATGCCTGTAAACTAACATGAATACCATTATTATTATTTTCAGAATATAAATACCATTATACATATCGATAGTAGGCTAAAACCACTGTAACTTGACGATGAAATACATAAATAATTTTTTTCGGATAAACTATAAAATTGAACAGAATAAAGACACTGGGAATGATTTGCAATAAATAAACTCAAACCATAATAATGATTGTTCTCTTTAAAAACATTAAGATAAATAAATCCAACATACTTGTTGTTCTTCTTTATAGTGGACTGCTATAAGTTCACGCCAATCCTGTTGAATTTGAGCTAATTCACTAGGTTCTAAATCTACAAAACTGCAATCTTTGCATGATTTAAGTCGAGCCATAATATTTTCAAATTTAGGTCTACTAACAGGAGTAGGTGACCAGCAATCTAAGCATAAAAAAATTATTGTTCGATGATCATAATTATCTATACTAATGAATCGTACAGAAAACGGTTAATTATAAACAGATATGTGACGAAAAATAAGGTGCGAAATGGAGCACATAATAATATTTCTGAATCACACATCATAGAACAAAACTTAAACTGACCTACTATAAAACGATGTGAATTGCAAAGTAGACAATAAACGGCCTATATATATATATATATATATATATATATATATATATATATATATATATATATATATACCGACCTATAACCACGGACTACATGACATCAGTTAGTCAAAGCATCAGATGATTATACTAAAACATAATGAAATCATAGTCGACTATGGGAAACAGTTGTTCTAGTAACCGTTTCGAAGATAAAATAAATAATACCTGAATAGTCCAGAAGACAGTCCAGAATTACTAATAGTGCTGAGTATGCTAATTTCTCTTTATTTATTTTTTATAGAGATGTTTAAATTCATTTTTCCAACCATAATCCACATTTTATCATTCATTATACAATAAGCTTCATTTCTTACTTTGTTTTGAAATTACCTGATAAATTTCAATGATATACTAGGATATGAGAACATCTTACTCATAGTTGAAATGATTATCTTGTACATTTCGTACACAAGTTAATCAATATTAATATATTTATTTACACAGCTTATGCTAATTTACTAACAGACAGCAGATAATACAGAATTGAGTGATTTTTCAGACATTATATTGGTGAAAAATAATGGTTCAAACTTTCAAAGAACAAAATTCAAAGTAATAAAGATTGAAAGTATCTTTTCCGTAAGAAATACAACAAAACTAATACTTCTATGTAATATGTAAGACAAATGAATATAGCATTAATTATAATTAGGATTTTTAATCCGGTTCGATGCTCGTATTCGATAAAATTTGGCAATAATTAAGTTAAAGAAAAAAAGATTACAAGAAGCATTTTGTATTTATAAGAATAAATAGAATGTTCCATATTGTTTTTATTTTACTACAAATGAATGATAACTATACAGAATTTTAGGTCTCTTAAAATACCATACATTTATGTGATAGTCATAGTAAAACTACCTTCAATCGTAAATACATTCCATAAACATATGATGTAGTAATTTTCTCGAAATTAAGGTTATTTTGGGTCATATATTCTTAGAAGAAATATAGTCCCATATGAATTTTGATGAAAATCGTCGACAAATTAATAGCATGTATATATAGGTATAAATGACAGCATTGACTCCCATATACTTATCAATACAGGTTTACATTATTAATTTTGATAACGAGTACAGGTTGATGTATCCGAAGTTAGTGACATTTTTGTATGGGAACAAAACAATACAATCTACCTTCTCTGATCGGAACATATGACGTGAATTTGGAATTTACCAACTGAAGGCTTATAGATCAAAGAACTTAAGAACAGTAAATAGTAGATCCGAACCCTGCTCAATCTACTCCGGTTTGAGCAGCTAAGTAGTGGGACTAGCAATCATACAAATAATGTGGCTTAAAGCTTAGCATATCAACCTATACTTAGTAAATGATTTACATTCAACTTAAATATTACTATCTTATACAACCCAAAGTGCAACAAACCTTTAAGTAATTGGACAAAGAGATCTGGAACGCCTGGTGGTATGTACAGGGTATAATTATACATTGCAATAATAAACAATAATCTAGGTTGCTCCATTGCGCGAAATGGTATATCTAATGTAAGCAACTCCCATAACACAACACCATATGACCAAATATCCGATTTAAAAGAAAATCCCTCCTAAAGTCAAAAAATAATAGTTCGAACAAATTATGGCTGAATAGGACTATTCATTCATTCCATATGTCATTTATAATGGTAATATTACGTATGAATGGATAATATGACCTTACAAATTTGCTGCAAATAAAACTGAAAGCTGAATATTTTCCAAGAAAAGACAAACTAAGTTTTACAAGAAACAACTTTTCTCATTCAACGTAAATTCAAACATGCAAACAACACAGCAGTCAATAATACATGTCGAACTTCAAAGTGAATGATAATTATGACAAAAGCTTGAATACGATAATAGAAAAACATTCCAAGGAAAACTACCAAGTGATAGATTTCAGGATCACAACAGCTTTTCGAATCATAAGTACGGCAAACATGATTTCATTTCTAATTAACTAGAAACATATATATTTACATTTTGTTAGTCCATTAGGTCTGACATCATGTTGTTCGTTCACAAACAAAGATGTGGTTGGGTTCTACAGTGTGCTTTTCAATTTTGTTATATTATCGAGATAAGTAGTTTTAATTAAAGTAAGTTATTCCGGCAACTTTCCAGAACAAAATATCCAATTATAAGAAAATAAGGACTAACTTGACGACAAACTTCTGGAGCTGCATATGCAACAGTGCCTAGTTTAGACTGTTGTGGTGCTAGTTGACTAGAACGACAAGCCATTCCGAAATCAGTTATCAATAGGGTACACCTTTGAAGTTCATTTAGAGAAAATGGTTTTTGAATAGCTTCTCTGATAAGAACTAAAAACAATAATAGAAAACAAATAGTTAATCTTAAAATTAACTTATCAACAAGGAAGAATACTGTAAACGTCAATAAATAATATCACTTAGTCCCTGATTTCAAGTATTTAACTTGAAACATTTTCTAATGGAAAATAATTCAAAAACAAATACACTGATCCATTGCTTTGAATGACTGGTTTACATTGTAATAAAACCTTTTGATCAATATGCCTTCGTAACATTAATGCCTTCACCCTTTATTTAAAAGTGATTAATAAGATTTACCTAACCTCATGAGTAAGATGAGTTCACATTCGAAGACAAAACAGACCTAAACAAAGATTAAAGTCAAAAAACCGACTGCAAAGGAGAATAACTGAAAATACTTCCTGCAAGAAATACTTTTTACCACAATAAATTAACTTATTCTTAGCATTTCTCAAAACGAAAACGACCTAAAGACTTACTGTTAGATGATTTTAAATCTCGATGACAAATTCTGGCATCTGTATGTAAATATGCCATTCCACTAGCGATCTGTAATGCCCAATCAAGTAGAACAAGGGGACCTAATAAAGGTCGTTGATTGAGAACCATGTTCAGAGAACCACCATAAGCATATTCCATTACAAGTGCTGGGAAATTAGAGCTGTCTAACCTGCAGATCCCATAAAATCTCACAATGTTCCGATGAGATAATCTACACAAATGCAAGGCTTCATTGTCTACCTATGAAAAGGATGACAATGAAGTGTTAACGAATAAGTAAGACAGGTGTAACACAACTAGGTTTATCAGATACTCTTATAAAATGAACTGTCAGTATTATATGTGATTTTCTTTTAATATACTTGGTAAATGGAGTGAGCCCGAGGGCCAAACAATAATTTGCTGAAGACTATTTCTAGTAAAAACATAAACGAACGAGGTTGCAGCTGATCTTCAACTTTCAATTGCCGGTAATGATTTTCGAGTCTCACGCCCTCTAGTCCGGTCTGACAGCTGACTAAGGTTTGATTTAAATAAATGAACTTGATAAAACTTGGTGACGGCCTCTCAGATTTCCCTCTTCTTAAAAATGAGAATTTGATGTCAGATTTAAGAAAACAAAAAAAACTAGTTGGATGTGGCGAAATCGTTACCGCAAGTATACTTAAGTAAAATTAACAATAAATTTTTCCGTTTTTTGTTTAAAAATCATTGCCATCGTTGTAATTAGGCGTTGAGAAACCAAGCATTTTCGTTGGTGTGCCCAAAAATCAAATAAACCATTTCTATAAGTTGGACGGTAAGGAGCTATTCATAACAAATCACGATCGTATAACGATATGTTCACCTAACTAATGAGTTTCATAATCTCCGAATTTATTTTTTATTTATTTTAACACATAGATTTTGATATAAGGAGGCACCAAATGCATATGCGCCACACAAATCTCATTCGATATGTTTAAGGGCTGTGATACTGCCCGGGTGCCCAAACCGAAGCACGTGATGTGCTTAGGGGGCCACACCCGGAGCCTTCGACCTGAAGGTCTGATTCACAAGGCAGTGGAGCATCGTAAGGAGATGCAGTCCCATGGTAGCCGGTGACCAACGACTGGTTCATACGCCATTTGTTCCTTCAGGATATTGAAGCCCATGTGCACCATTGGTTTGGAATCAGGGTTTTCCAACTCCCCTAGGTGGACTCAACATGTCCACCAACCCGGTTAAAGCGCCGGACATTCGCTTTTCGTCCACTCAATTTCGTAAACAACACACACGCAACGATAAGGCAATGAGTAGGACTTCCCCGGCAGAGGCTATATAGGCGTGGCCATGTGAGAGCATTTCGAGAGGGAGAGCGGACTCTCCCCACTCTAGGCCGTACCAGGGCATTTGGGGGCAATCTCCGAAACTTCAGCCACACAGTTCGTTAACAAACAAACGAAGTATGGATTCCTAGACGCTGAATGTCAACAACTGTACTCGATGGTTTTCACTGCTCATTTACAAATACTTATTTGACCTCATGTTAGAAACTCATTTCTAAAAAAGGGACAGTTAGGCAAATATGTTTTAAACATTATAGTTAGTGAGAATATTTAATTTATCAGGCTAATGAAAAACAAAAATTCACCTGATTTGTAGCTAGATCAAATACTTTTAGTGCAATATCCTGTTCACGCCAAAGACCTCGATAAACTTTTCCAAATGCTCCTGAGCCAATAAACTGTAACAGAAGTGAATAATACGAGTACAGTTAATTAATCAAAATAATTTTATCTAATAGAAGAAAAAACTCCAACCCATTTATATGTTAACAAAACTAGTATGTGGCATGGTTTAATAGAAAACCATACTAACCAGTAAAGAAGCCATTTTAATCATTAAACGCCGTTAGATAAAATGCTATTAAGCTCTAAATCAATGTGTACCATAGCCAAACAACAACAAAACTAAACTTGAGAAGACTAAGAGGAAGAAAATAAGTCTGTATGTGACAAACTAAATGGAATTCATAACTTTTAGCTATAGCATTTACTTCTTTTAACCACAATAAATATTATCAAAGTAAATAGTGTGCTCGATTAGAGCATTCGATAATTTTTTAAGGAAACAGATATGAATTTTATGTATTTCATCACCATATTTTAAACTTTGAAGAATATTACCCTACAAGATTTCCAGCTTGTTGTCCACTTAAAGACGTCTGATCACCTTTATTACCTTTCTTTACATGAGGCGTCCAAACCACAACAGCTACGTCAGAAGAAAGAAGCAAACAAATGAAAACTGGGTAATTCTCAAAAGTAGAGTTTAGATACAACACAAACATTCTATATACCCGATACACGCAAACGACAGACAAACTCTAAATCTCAGTGAAAAAGTATAAATTACTTTTTGAAAGGCCTCAGGCAATTAAATAATGCTACACTACTACTCTTGGAAATCTAAATGTGAGGACCGCCCACGGATGAACTCAGGGAAGTTCTAAGAGTCTCAGGAAGAGCCGGAGACATTCCATCCAATCATCTTTTGGAAGAGCATTCCAGAATCTCGACGTGTAGCTTCCCTATTGGACAAAAACTAAAAACCACTGAATGCAGATTGGATGATTATAATGATGATTTCACTTTTACTAAAAACTATAAATACAACAACACAATGTAATTTCATACTGCGTACGTTAAATTCAAATTTCCGCTTGTTCCTCATAGAAGTACTGAACTTATTGGGATTAGTAGTATTTCATTAGACAATTTCGAATTCGCATGTGACCTTCAAATGTAGGTATTCGTACGTCACTAATATTTGGTCGTAAGTTTTTTCGAAACATTGATCTCGCATTATGGGACAATCTATTGAGCGATGTTAAGGTTGGACGCTAGGTACTAATTAAAAATAGTAGATCGATTGATGAGGTTGCAAAATGTCATCGACTTAACTGGTTGAGATATGTATTACGTATCCCAAAATACTGGTTACCACGACATCCAATGTCGGTAAGACTAAGGACAAGTTAGCTCGTAAAGTCATCGACTGTTGACTTGAGACATTTTGGATAGTTAAGACTTTCTGACTGGAGTCCAGAAAATTATCCTGATCAAAGTTTGAAGATACTGCGTAACACGGATCAAAATCGGGCACAGTGGCATATATTAGATTATGAGTTTCAGAATTATTTTATTTAATACATTAATTCACTTATTTTCGAACCACATGACCTGTCTAATATTTTCTACCGTCACTGATATTAATGACAACTTTATATCGCTTTGCTGATGTAGTGGGAAATGAAACCGACACATTTATACCAGGTTTTACTTTTACTATGACCAACTGGCGAAAATTTCACTAATCAAATAAATATTGCCTGAATACTCTTAGACAAACTTTTTATTTTACTTTGCAATAAAACGCACCTGTTGTTGCACTAACTCAGTAGCAGGAATCGTTCTAACATGACTGTGTCTAAGGATTACGTCACTGTCGGGTAACTTTTTGTCGAGAGATATCTCTTCCTTTGTTTTTACAGTTATAGTTTTGTCCGTATTGTTACCTATCCCAAATGTGACATCATTCCATTTATTTGGTTCAAAAGAATTAGCTTTCATTTCATTCGCTCCTGAAGATTCACTGTTTGCAATGTCATCTGCATTTAAAACATATCCACTAGGAAACACACCAACATAACCTGTTTTTGGTTCTTGGCCAACCCACCATCCTTCAGCTCCAGAATGTCGACAGTCTTTGGACAAAATCTGTAGTAGATTAAAAAGATTCAAAAACCAGAACCAATGAAATGTAGAGAGTATCAACTCACGAATTGATTTCCTAGAAGTGACAAACTCGAAAACTTTAGCAACATATGATTTTAAATTCTCGAATAACAATGTTGTAGATAGAACGAAAAGTGATGTAAAAGCCGTAAAACCTAAAATGTTATTTTATAAGCAAACACTAGATTGGATCGTAACAAGAAATAACCAGAATTCTTCGTAAATTAAAACGTAACTTCTTAACTGAATGAAATCTAAGTTGACTGCTTTATTAAATACACTTTATCTTTTAGTAAAAACAATCCCTGTTTATTTATCTATTGATCACATGACCTTTTCTTATGTTGTTTATTCACAGTATTATCATTTCAGTTATGTGGTGAAAACTTCCACTAACCTGTAGTACCAAATTTTTGTTAGGAATATAATACAAAACAGGACTTAAGCTGTTGAGGTTTAATATATTGATATCTTACTTGAATAAGATGGGTTTCCGAGGCAGACGATAGCACAAAAAGATTTTGAACTGAAAAAGTGAAACATTCTTCTCGTCCATGCATACATCAGAAGAAAATTTCACCAATTGTTTCGAAAAACAAGGTTATAACCTGTTTTAAGACTGAAGAATATGATTAACTTTAGGCTTTAGGAAGTATATCTATTTTTCACAGCCATAGAAGCAGTGACTGGAATGTACATACATTATTCTATACATGGGGATTGATTCACCTTGGAAATAGCGTTAAGATCCTGTGCTTTGAAGATATCAGAAATCATTCTATAGTATATGGCACTTCTTTATATTCACTGAAATCTCTCCACTACAAAGTGGAGAAGACTGATTGAACAAATTTCAGGATGACAGAGTTTAAACTCGTGTCCACAGCTGCATTACTACTTTGAAAGTTGTTAAGGAGAGTAAGTTGAACTTCGCTTTGTATACTTAATTTAGCTACACTAATATCCAGTTACTGGTGCTCCTCCAGTTTATCTCCCTGATAAAACAAAATATCGGCTGATCACTACCAACCTCTAATGTCATTCAGATTTCAGAATTTTCCTATCGAACCCGTAGAGGATCGGCACTTCAGAATACATTATTGCTAATCCGGTATGAAACAAACAAGGCGGATCTGGATGACATAACAAGAATAATAAGCAACCAATGGATAAGGTACAAGGCACAACAAAATACCTAACTAGATCATCCATAGAAACAAGAATCCTATACTTCTACTGGAAGATACAGATTGACGTCAATACCTTGAAGACTTGTGGCAAATAATTGTTTCAAACTAATTCTACCCAGTAATCATATACCACGCCACTTAGAAACTCAGGGTGGATAGTGAATCCATTCGTCTTATTTTGTGCAGATTTGCAATTTATTCAAGTTCTTACTATGTTTTCTCATTTTAGTAGCGAATGTATCAATTGAATTCGTAAGGACCAACTGTTAGGCAAAGTTTTAAAACCATAAACAAATACCTTAATTTTTTGACCCGTTCGTAGATTTATTTCGTCTGAATGCTGGGGCATGTACGAGTAAATTGCAGTAACGTATTCAGAAGAAGCTTCACAATGTTCACCAGAGTATATTGGATCCATTTTACTACTGGCTAGTGTATTGTATTCTGTGGCGCTCTCCTGATAAGAAATAGGTTTATCTTCTACCATAGTTATGTACATGAAAATTCCAAGAATATATTGAAAGACGCAAACCAGTATATCACATGCAATGGACTCTTGTTTATTCAGTAAGTAACGCGGATAAATGAAGAATAAAGGTCAAAATTCCGGTAACTGGTCAAAGGAATCGAAACACACGAATATAAAGATAAAGGACAAAGAGAATGAATATTTAGATGAATCCCTTGATAATTTGAATTTGTTACTGTTTTTAAATTATATCACATTCCTATTTAAGGAGTAATAATACCCATCTAATATTTCTTAGTAATCTGCATCCAGCAGACACTTTTGACTTTATACTGATACAAATAACTTTACTAACTATAGATTTGATGAACATGGAAATATCATTTAAATCCTTGTTAACTGAAAATGTCAAAGGAACAAATTTTACTGAATCCCTTAGACAAAAGCTTGAAAACAGATTATATTTTGTCCCTACTAAATGCGTCCGTTTAATAATGAGCAGCGTAGCGACAGAGTAACTCCGCCTGGAGTCCCTCCGGGGGCTACTGCCGGTCCCAAGCCCGGATAAAGGAGGAGGGTTGGGCATGGGGTTAGCGTCCCCATCCCGTAGAAAACTAACTCGCTAAAAAAACGCTAACCAGAAAAAATTATTCAAACCTTTTAAACTCTGCCCTGGGAGTCAGAAGGTCTTCATTTAGAAGAATTATGACGCCTCATGATGAAAGCCGAATTCCTTCGGAAGTTACGAGGCCGATGTCCCTTCTGACAACCAGGGCGACCATTTATTTAGGTACATGGAATGTTTGTACAATGTGGGACACCGGGAGAGCCTTCCAAATTGCTGCAGAAATGAGAAGATACAACCTAGAGGTACTTGGGATCAGTGAAACACATTGGACACAAGTTGGACAACAACGACTAACTACAGGAGAGCTCCTGTTATACTCCGGCCATGAAGAAGAAAATGCACCACATACACAAGGAGTTGCATTGATGCTGTCCAAACAAGCGCAAAATGCGCTTATAGGATGGGAATCTCATGGACCAAGGATCATCAAAGCCTCCTTCAAAACAAAGAAGGAAGGCATTCCAATGAACATCATCCAATGCTATGCGCCTACCAACGACTACAATGAAGACGCTAAAGATCAATTGTACGATAAGCTGCAGTAAATCGTCGAGAAGTGCCCAACAAAAGACCTGACCATTCTGATGGGAGATTTCAATGCCAAGGTTGGAGTGGACAGCACTGGATATGAAGACATCATGGGACGACACGGACTGGGAGAAAGAAACGGTGAGAAAACGGTGAGAGATTTGCAAATCTATGTGCCTTCAATAAACTGGTTGTAGGTGGCACCATATTCCCACATAAACCCATACACAAAAACACATGGACTTCACCGGATCACTCTACACAAAACCAAATCGACCATATTTGCATCAACAAAACGTTCAGGAGGACTATAGAGGACGGGAGAACCAAGAGAGGAGCTGATATAGCATCAGATCATCACTTGCTGGTCGCCAAGATGAAATTGAAACTCAAGAAGCACTGCACAACGGGGCGGACAATATCATAAAAGTTCAATACGGCCTTTCTTCAGGATACTAACACTCAACAAATTCAAGATAATCCTCAGCAACAAGTTCCAGGCCTTTCATGATCTACTCAATGGAGAAGAAACTACTGTGGAGAGCAACTGGAAGGGGATCAAAAAGGCAATCACTTCAACATGTCATGAGGTCCTGGGTCACAAGAAGCACCATCACAAGGAATGGATCATTGTTGACACACTGGAAAAGATTCAAGAAAGGAGGAACAAGAAAGCAGCAATCAATACCAGTCGAACAAGAGCAGAAAAAGCCAAGGCACAAGCTGAATACACAGAAGTTAACAAACAAGTGAAGAGGAGCATCAGAACCGACAAACGTAAATATGTGGAAGATTTAGCAACGACGGCGGAAAAGGCTGCAAGAGAAGGAAACATGAGACAATTGTATGACACGACAAAGAAACTCTCTGGAAATCGCCGCAAACCAGAACGACCAGTGGAAAGCAAGGAAGGCAAGGTAATCACCAACATTGAAGAGCAACAAAACAGGTGGGTAGAACACTTCAAAGAACTCTTGAATCGACCAGCTCCACTAAACCCACCCAACATCGAAGCAGCACCCACGGACCTCCCAATCAATGTTGACCCACCAACAATTGAAGAAATCAGCATGCCCATCAGACAAATCAAGAGTGGCAAAGCAGCAGGACCGGACAACATCCCAGCAGAAGCACTAAAAGCAGACGTAGCGGCAACTGCAAGGATACTCCACATTCTCTTCAATAAGATTTGGGATGAGGAACAAGTACCAAAAGACTGGAAAGAAGGACTTCTGATCAAAATACCGAAGAAAGGCGATCGCAGCAAGTGTGATAACTGCAGGGGCACTCTTCTCTCAATACCGGGAAAAGTCTTCAACAGGGTATTGTTAAACAGGGTGAAGGACTGCGTAGACGCCCAACTTCGTGACCAACAGGCAGGATTCCGTAAGTATAGATCGTGTACAGACCAAATCGCAACTCTACGGATCATCATGGAACAATCAATTGAATGGAATTCATCACTCTACATCAACTTCATTGACTACGAAAAAGCATTTGATAGCGTCAACAGAACAACACTATGGAAGCTTCTTCGATACTACGGTGTGCCCGAGAAGACAGTCAGTAACATACGGAACTCCTACGATGGATTAAACTGCAAAATCGTGCATGGGTAACAGCTGACAGACTCGTTCGAGGTAAGGACAGGTGTCAGGCGAGGTTGCTTACTCTCACCCTTTCTCTTTCTCCTGGTGATCGACTGGATCATGAAGACGTCAACGTCTGAAGGGAAGCGCGGGATACAATGGACATCTAGGATGCAATTAGACGATCTAGACTTCGCAGACGATCTGGCCCTTCTATCCCAAACGCAACAACAGATGCAGGAGAAGACAAACAGTGTGGCAGCAGCCTCAGCAGCAATAGGTCTCAATATACACAAAGGGAAAAGCAGGATTCTCCGATACAACACAGAATGCACCAATCCAATCAAAATTGACGGAGAACATTTGGAAGATGTAAAAAACCTTTACGTATTTGGGCAGCATCATTGATGAACAGGGTGGATCTGATGCAGATGTGAAGGCGCGGGTCGGCAAAGCAAGAGCAGCATATTTACAACTGAAGAACATCTGGAACTCAAAGCAACTGTCAACCAACACCAAGGTCAGGATTTTCAATACAAATGTCAAGACAGTTCTACTGTATGGGGCAGAAACCTGGAGAACTACAAAAGCCATCATCCAGAAAATACAGGTGTTTATTAACAATTGTCTACGCAAAATACTTCAGATCCATTGGCCGGACACTATTAGCAACAACGTACTGTGGGAGAGAACAAACCAGATCCCAGCGGAAGAAGAAATCAGGAAGAAGCGCTGGAAGTGGATAGGACACATTGAGGAAAGCACCCAACTGCGTCACAAGACAAGCCCTCACATGGAATCCTGAAGGTCAAAGGAAAAGAGGAAGACCAAAGAACACATTACGCCGAGAAATGGAGATAGACATGAGACAAATGAACAAGAATTGGATGGAGTTAGAAAAGAAGGCCCAGGACAGAGTGGGTTGGAGAATGCTGGTCGGCGGCCTATGCTCCATTGGGAGTAACAGGCGTAAGTAAGTAAGTAAGTAGTGACAGAGTACATTGGTTACTTTTGTTCACTTGGGTATCCAACATGACGAGTTATTGCTTCACAAAATACTTTCGCCGAGAAGAAAACATTATTTATCTTGACCATTTTCCAGAACCTATACCATAATTGAAACATCTAATGTCTGTTAGGACGTAAAGATATCATACAATTGCTTATTACCCTATACTAATATAAGGTTGCGACATATGGTCAATGAAACCAAACGGTTTAACTGAGCGAATAAATACGGACACAAAGCTGGTGATACTATGTGGCCTTCCAAACTACAAATGCGCGCCATAACAAAGTTACAAGTATTCGGAGAATATTTTTGTACATGATAGGAACACTGAGTAAGTAATGTCAAGATTAAGTTCAACGTTACAAGCAAAATAGATCGGCAAGTTAAATTTGTAAATGTGCACCTACTGACGATTGTGTATTGGGTAAAAGAAAGAGTAATGACTTCAGTACGTAGCATTTATCTCTGAAGTCAATGACTTTTGGCCTGGACTATATACGGGATTGATGACTAACAGGAATTTGTGGGATGTCAGACATACGTAGTTTAACAAATAAGGCAATATGGACTGAAATAGACCATAACGGTAGAGATACAGTTGCTTCCTGTAAGTCATGAATAATAAAATTCAGTGTTTAGTTTGTCCCAGTTGAAGTGGGAACATAAAGATTACAGTACCTCGGTTGGTCGAATACAGCGTAGAATCCAAAACATGTGTACGTCAGTTAAAGTTTTCATAGAAAAACGAAATTGTTACGTAAAATCTGGCAGCAGTAGAGGCTATAACAGGACTAATAGTTATAGAAAAGACTGGGTATCGGAGATGAGGTTCGGGATCATATATAATTTTTAAAACGATAGAAATTTTATGAGGAATCTAGAAACTTCAGATATAAGGGCAGACAAAGGTGAATGCACCTGCGCCAATATGAACGATTTAGAGTAATATCGTTCAAAGTCTAACCACTGGTCACCATTATCAGGCGGACCCCAACCACTTAGTTTGCACCTACCTACATGGTCCAGTCCAACAGCTAGTGTTTTCATGGACTGGTGACATACCTTGTTTTGGCCTCCCCCATCTGCCATCCAACCTACTACACTAATCACCATCGCGCGTCAACGTGGTCCGTGGATGATTATACGTAGATCATGTTCCAATCATCTAAGTCGACGATAAGCAGATATTTGTATTGTCATTCAATCGAGCAGAGGACAGATAACGGTCAACTTGAATTCAGTTCAAAGGCGTTTATCTCAATTTCGAGTTAAA